TGTTTTTATGTATTTTATAATGCTTTGCTGACAAATAATTACATTAATATTATAATTGGCCAGGCCAGACACGTTTTGTTCGGCTTATCGGAGACGGCCATTTCAGATATTAACGACTATATTATTATAATAACGCCAGTGTGAAGTTGTTAAGACACGTCCAGTCTGTTATTCGCTTTTTGATTTATTTGTTAGCATAATTATTAATATTATTATTATTATTTTTTAAATTGCCAACGAAAACGAATCGTTAATGACTACCGCTGAAATGATACTGACCTTCTCGCTCAGAGTGTGTAATGAGGTTTATTTTTTCAATGAAACTTCAATATTGGTCGATTGCTACCAACTCATATATATACATATTATAATAATATATAATAATACTATGCTCTCTTTGAAACTGGTTCGGTCCACAGTTCACTCGTATTGTCGACTGTATATTATCTTGTACAGGGTTATCCAAATAATTACTTGTAACAATGATTTCTTATTGAAATGGCTGTTCAAGATAAAACAAAGTTATCTGCCAATCAAATCCTTAATATATTTAATGATAAACGATTTAATACTTATAATCGTTATACTTTTTATGTTTAAAATACTTAGCTTAGAAATATTACTTTAATGGGTAAATGTTTTTGAACAACCTGTATATTATTGGAATTCTTTCGGTATAAATTAATATTATATGTTGATTTCGATCTAGATCTCGCATATTATACAGTATGTAATTTTCGGTTGTGAAACTATTCGATTCGATGGTGTAATTATTTTTTTTAGCAGTAGTTGTTAAAAAAAACAAGGAGCCGTCTGACCAGCTCGACAACAACATTGGATGGACTTGGAGGCTTTACAACGTACTTTAATAGATTAGATAAAACCAGATAGTGCACTCTGAAAAAATCAAAAAATGTAAACAAGACTTTTATACTCTCAGGCCAGTGTGACCAAAAAAATATTATTATCAATCACCTGTAACGCGTTATCACCATCAACAAGTATCTTTTATCAGTTTACTGTAATGGTGTGTACAATACTTTTTTTTTAGGCATCATAATTTGAACCTTCTGCGTTAAGAGTACACCAACCGAAAATCTTTGTTTGAAAATCTATTGTAGGCTTACAATGTAGAGTGCACTTTGTGGTTTTATCTGATCTGTGGTACTCTGATGCAACTGAAGACTTGTTTGCGGACCTAACCCATTAGCCCGACCAAAGCACAACAAAAATATGATACAAATTATGTTAATATTGTGTTTTTATTTTCTGTTGCTTACACAAATCGCTCGCATTACCCGCTGTTCGACAGAGTTAAGCCCAGCCCAGCACAGTATGTCCCCATCGAGTGAAATTGCTTTCATATTAAAAAAAATAAAAATACACGGGCTAAGCGGGTAAGCTCTAAAAAACGAATTGAGTTATTTCCATTGAAACAGCAGCGAGATTTAGCGCTATGTATAAAAAGCAACAATGCACAGCTGCTGTAAAACGATTATGTCTGGCCGGTGGATTTTCGTACGGTTGTTGGGTCGCAAGCTCTTAATATAATTAAAAAAAAAAAAAATCTTAACGTTACAATGTAATTTGTTAACATTCTGAAAAAAATAAAAACTACAATAAGTATGTGAAATTTATCGTTGGGCTCCATTCCATAACATTTATAACCCGCAGTAAACTTTATTTATTTTGGAAATTAAAAGTAAACACTAATTTATTCGTAATAATATTTTTCTTCGATAAAAAAAACCTTGTACCCATCTTGAGAGAAAATAAATATAAATATATCAATGGAAAAATGGTACGAGCACCACATGGACTTGTGCTATTTTTGATCCCACACAAGTTTTTGTCAAATTGTGTTTTGCTTCTAAGAATGTTAGATATTTTGTTTTCTTATTTTTATTTTTTTTTATTTTTCTATGAAACATAATATGAAAAAAAAAACAAAAACCCACTTGGTTAAGTAATGGCAGTTACTTTAGCTGAACGAATACCGACGGATGTAGTTTAAACTTCAAAGTTTTATTGCATTTCCTCTGGAAAGCACACACATTTGAGAAACTTTGTATAGTGTTGTGATATACAGAAGATAATATAAGCAGCGGTTGAAGAAAACATGTACACCTTACTAAAACTTTTTAATGAAACATTGTCCAATTCTGAGCTTGGAGAGTAATAATTTTACAAAATTTGATGTTTTTTTGAACCTAACCTAACCTCCCACTCCCTTAAAAAACTAAAATGAAAATATAATTTAACGATTTTATATTATTTTACAGCATAAATTGATTTATAATACAATTTAAATTAACGTTAAGAAAATGCAGATTTCTAAATTTAAATATATTTTTTCCTGGATTTTAATTGTTCTTTTTAAAAATAAATTTCCCATGAAAATTATTCACTACCATATCGAATCTCGGCCTTTTCTAAAAATTAAGAAACTTTGTACTCCTTAAGTTTTTAATAACAACAAATAAATCAATATTTTTTAGATCTTTAATGACTTGTATCATCAAAATGTTTTGAAATCGGACACCAAATTGGTAACACAAATGAAATTTCTAAAATATTGATTTTATTAGACGTGCTTCATGACACATGGCTGGTCGCTATACTTGTTCTAAGTATTTCTACTGAAAAACCTCAACATATCTGAACGATAAAAATCATACAGCTAACCGCTGAGTTATGAAAAAATGTACTTATAAATAATTATTGTATTGTCCAATTTTTTTTTTTTTTGGGAGAACAATTTAAATATTGCAAATGCTTTTTTTGCACCATCGAGGCCCCGAATATTTTTTATTTTAATTGGGCGTGACATTTACACTCATATTAAACTTAATAACGAATTTATGTTCAGCCTTGATACAAATTAAACGGTGGCCTCGAGGTCTAAACCCTCAAGATAAAAAAAAAACAAATTCTTAATATTAACAGTTTGACAACACTGGGGAGTAGGAGTTACTTTTGGTTTTGTTTATTATTCTATTGGCTCGAAATGATCGAAACTTTCATCGGCTAAACCAAATGTGAAAACTACTAAGGCCTCGCATATGTATCGGTGATTGGAAACATATTTTGAGTCAAGGTTCGGCGAGAGTACACAGCTGTCCGTGTATGGAAATCCTTACTTCAATTTATTATGAAATCAGGTCGTCATCCGTCAAATACACAAATCGATTGTTTGCACATCTTACCCGAAGATAGTTTTCTTACCACCGAGAAGTCGGGCCAATCGTTTAAACGATCAATCATTTTGTTTTAACATCGATTGACGATTATTATAATATATGTGTCATCAAATCTAATCAACGATTACAATATTAATTTTAAATACCTCTCCGTGGCCCGCACTAGGTCAGTTAGGTCGATTGCCTATCCACAATCAAACCGTGCACGGGCCGTGTATAAGAGTGACCAATATCTGTTGAATTTGCTGCAGCGACAAAATAATTAAAATCTTTATCAAACCGTGATCACCACACTCCTCGACGATGCCTTTTTTATTGCAACAAACAACGGCAGAGACCGGTAGAGATGTCGCCGAGTTCATTATACACTTGGGAAGGGGACAAAAGATAATAAGTAGGTACTCGACACAATCAACAGACAAGCACTCCACAAGAGACGTTAAATCTAAGTGTGTAATACCACGGCTGAAAGGACTGACAAACATTAAACAACAAACGAATTACTCGGCATAAAAGTGAACGTTAAAAGACACTAACCGTGTCTTGCATACAAAATAATTTATAAACCCAAGGTATACAAAAAAACGGCAACCGATTTTCGACGGGATTCCCGCCGTCAACCGAGGTACCCTGGCCATAGTTTGTGGACGGGCGGACGGTAACTACGATGGGGGTACCCCTGTTGCCGGCGGGAATCCCACGTGAATTCGGTTGCCGTTTTCGTGCACGCCTCGACCCAGCCATATGTTGTATGTTTTAAAATCAAAACTACACCGAAGGCAGCGCGGTCAGAGGTCATGGGCGTTAATTGGATTGAGTTTTCGTTTTGTGTTGAGTATTTTTTGTTAAATTTCCGGTCGTCACACCGATCTGTAGGAGACCGGCAATCTGTATGAGACCGCCGCACGACGTGGAAAAGTGAACGGTTGGCCGTGGAAAGGTCAGAATCCGATTCAAGGCTGTGCGTGTGTCATAACAGGTCTCGCTGGTGGCATGAGCTCGGTCGGTTTTCAAAATTCAGTATGTTTTCGCTTGGTTGGTCGACCTGATAATTAGATCTTCTAGATTCCGATGCATATTAGTGAATAGGCAAGAAATATTCGGGGTCTGCAGCGTGCCAGAGAAATTCAAAACCGGCCAGCCACCGTCAAGGCGCTTAGACATATTTCAAACGGGGAAAAAAACACATTTTCCCATTTACATTGTTGCAGTTTTGCCGGCTCGGATGCGGAAGAACGTCGGAATGTCGCACTGGTAGTTCGGCACGAACGAGCACGGTCGCCGTTGACCCGGCCTTGAGCGAGGGCTCTAATCGAGAAACCATTTGGTTCCCATTGGAAACCGTATTGACGAACAAGCTGGCGAACACCTTGAAATCACAATAGTTGTGGTAAAAATATCGAACCAGATAAGATAAACACAAAAAAAAGGATCCTTGTCGTCTTCTGCTACATTTGTTTATCGATTTCCAAGATTTTTAGATTGGCAATAAGTCACCGTTTCCAAAGACGCATAATATGCCTTATATCTTCACCAAGTTCTACACATTCCAGTAGTTTCAGCAATGGTTTTTTCCCTCAGATTTTAGTCTTAACCCAAAGCCGAGAAGGTATAACAATTTTATTTTTGGAGCTTTATAAAAGGTGAGGCTGAACTTGCCCAGCTTCGATTGTCCAGTAACCCTCCCAATAATAATCTATGCCATACCCCAACTACCCCATTGTGCCGGGGTGCGCTTTTGAGATGACATTATTATTTTATGATGTATACTAATCGACGGGACTTGTTGTGTTTTTTCAGGGATCCAAGATGGGGTACGGCTCCAAAGACGAAATTTGCGGCACTTTGGTCAAGTACAGCATGTTGGTGACCAACTTCATAATATTCGTGAGTACAACCGACTCGACTTAAGGTTTGTGTACGATAACCCGTACTTAATGGTACCTGCTGCCATTTTTTGTGTGTTAGATCGGCGGTATCGTGTTGGGCATCATTTCGTTGTACACGCTGTTCGACAAGTCGTTCATCAAAGAGCTGTTGGGGACCAACTTGTTTACCGGCGCAGTGTACATATTGATATCCACCGGGATCCTACTGTCGCTATTGTCGTTTCTTGGATGTGTCGGCGCGGCCAAAGAAGTGAAATGCATGCTGTTGGCGGTGAGCCACACTAAATATAATAACAATACAAACGTTATCATTTGAATATTATAACTATATTGTTTACTAATTTATTATCGACAAAAAAACTTACAGGACAAAACCATAGACATCTACTAATACTAGCCGATGCCGCATGTGCAATGTAGCCACAATCGATGTATAAACGTTATCAATATTTGGCTTTATTATGTTGTACAAAGTACTCAACGCAAGTTGATTGAAATAAAATACTACAAAAATGAACAATAAGTGTTCACAAAACGTCAAAAACGTGTCCACTTACGACTTAATTTTTTTTTAATTTTAACCGTTGTTGTTATATAGTGTGTTTGATAACGTTCATTTACCGGTTGTGCCTACATTGCATATGGCGTCGGCTTCACTGATAACGCGAAGGCGGTTATCTAGTATTAGTATATATATCTATCTATGGACAAAACAAGTTCAAGCTGATTTAAATGCCAGGATAGCCTGGTAACCTGGTAATTACCAGGTAACAGGTGTATTCTTTTAATAATATTATGTTCTATCTCGTTGGATTCGGTAGACCGCGCGTGTGTGTGTGTTTTTAATTTAAATTTAAATTTAACGTGTACATTGTTGTTTTTTTCTAGTACTTCATTATACTTTTCATTATCTTTGTCGTTATGCTGGTCGGCGGTATACTGTGCTACGTTTTCCGGCAGAGAGTGGAAACCACCATGGAACAAGAGATGCTCAGGACCATTAGATCCTACGGCGAGGACCGTGTGCTCACCCGTGCTTGGGACGACCTCCAGGAAGGCGTAAGACGGCCCTAGAGCCACGACAATAACAATAATAATAAACTTATATTATTGAAAATACAATTTAAAAAAAAAACCCATTGTCTTTGTGTTTCAGTTGCACTGCTGCGGCGTCACTGGCTACGACGACTGGCGCCAACACCGCATTGGAGGAAACATCCCTGACAGCTGCTGCCGCGAAGTTAACGGAAAGGTACCACTAATAACAATAATAATATGTCAAAAATAATGGCCTGACTGTATGACCACTATGTAACGGCAGCAGGTCCAAATTATAATAATGTGCAGTACCTAAAACCAAAAATATGATAAGGGTGTCCTGAGAAAAAAAAACGGCCGAGTTAACACATTTTTCGGTAACGGATAAGATATTATCTAAATCAATACTGTTTCCCAGACAAGTAAATTGTCAATTAAAAAAACGTGGGACACTTGCAATAGTTTGATCCGTTAGACTTGGACAAGATGTTAAAAAAAAAAATTATATATTTGATGTCTTACCCAATCAGACTTGACCGTTTCATAATGCACAATATTAGTTTACCCGGACTTGATCAAAGTTGAAATGTATATTTTTTCGTTTCACATACATTACATTTAATAACGGCTAATAATGAGTTAAGGTTATAATTATTTTTGGTAAGGTTTTTTTAACATTATTATGTATTTAACAATCTTTTTACTACTCTCTACCGTACAATGTAATTTTTTGCAAATACAAATTCATGCGACTAACCGTTGCTTATGATTATTCACATTATTCGTGCCTAAAAATTCAATTTGTATTAAAAAACAGTGTTATTTACAATTAAAAGTTGAACTATAAATTAAGAGCTTAATTTTGTTCTTTATTCAAACGCAAAACCGCTGACCTTTATATTTTGTAAAATTGTATTGCCATCTTAAAGTTAGATTTTGAAATACAAATTATTCTGTTCTCAATTAAACGATAAAACTGTTTTTGCAATTAAATCGGGTTTTCTTAATTTACTATTCTGGCGGTTAATCGTCAATCATACTTGAATAGCTTACAAGCTTTAAATACGAATTTCACCAACCTGAGGACCAAAGGTGTTATTTTTTCACATTTAAAACTAGATTCTTATTTTTGAAATTTCCTTTTTCGAAATGACTAGGCGGCATTTCAACTGGAATTCGCCAGTTCCCGTTTGCACGAACTAATAATAATGATAACCAAATATCAAATATCATCGTGTGTGCCTAATATATTTGATGGAATGCCATGACAGTCATGACAGCGGTCAGTGCCAAAAAAACAACAACACAATACTCAAGTGTGCATTTTGATTTTTTTTAGAAACAACCTTGCACTTTGAATTTCCAAGCCAGCCAACAGATTTACACATCCGGATGCTTGAACGTGACCACTACTTTCATGAAGCAACACGCCAACACCGTGGGAACAGTCGGCATAGCCGTGTCTCTCTTTTTGGTAAAAATGTTTTAAGAAAAAAAAAAAAATATATGCATTCAAATAAAAAATTATACACTATAACTTATCCGCGCTTAAGCCGGTCGTTTTGCATAATTCTCTCAACGTTACTGACGGATTGCCAAGAGGATTACACGTCTTGATCTTCTTGCTGTCAAAGTTCACATTAAAAAAAAAAAAACATTTTTCACTCGCCAAATTTGTCGTTCACAAACGTTGCATATATATATGGATCTTACATTTAATATTCACTTGGCAATCATTAAAAATGTGCAAAAATTAAAGTAGTCAATAAAACGTTGAAAAAATGTATGTGTATAATATATTATTGTAATAATATGATTTTTATATTGTAATTAGGTGCCCATTTTAATTATACCTATTATTAAATTGATATTGTCTGTATTTTTTTCTAGCTATTCGGATTGGCTCTTTCATGTGCTCTGTTCATGCTGATCGTTTAAATCAACACCTGCACAACAACATCATCAGGCGGCCATCAGAAAGATCAAAATTAAACAAAAAAAGTTCTAGTTTACCAATATCATCCGTTCACTAATAACTTAACAACACACATCTCAGCTGTACAATAGAAAAATATAATACTCCAATAATATCACACTTACAGTATTCATACAGTAATATACAAGCAAAAAAAGTAATAATAATAACTATTTACCATATTAATTATTCATCCTCTTCGGTCAGTCATGCTAACTAAAACAAAAAATGTCCGTTAGACAAAAAAAGCTGTCCATCTTGCTTAAAAAAACAACAAAAATATCAAAAAGGACTCGCCTCATTTACAATAACGTACAACGTGGGTTTTCGAAAAATACCGTAAATGGTAATTTAAAACATAAAAAAAAAAAAAAAACTCTATTGATAGGGTAAAAATTTGATACACCTAATTATAAAATACAATTTCCGGTAAAAAAAAATCACATTTAAAACGGCGAAACAAACACTAATTTCGATTTTCTTTAAATAAATAAATATAACAAACGCTAAAAACACAACACACAACAATATATATATATAATTAATAAAAGTATAAATAAAAAATATTTGCCATAGTTTCAGTTTCAATTAATAAATCATTTGTTAATAAACAAAAACAAATTACAAATCCGTTAAAACGTTTTTTGGGAATATCAAATTGGGTTTTAAACCTCCCTTTTTACTTATTAAAATATATTCACCTATTTGCTTATTTCTCACGGCTGGGGTTTCCCATTGTGTTAGTTTAGATCATTTTCCAGCGCACGTTACACGATCTCCGCTTTAAATCAAAAACAGTATTATGTTAGGCTATTTTAGAAATTATATAAAAATTAAACTTTAATATTAAAAGTCAATGCGTTGAGTGCAACAGCGACGCAGCTAACTTACAGAAACTATTTACAGGATGTACTATCACTTTAAAGATTTTCATTAATCACTAAAATAGTTCAATATAGATTAACCGAAGTGCTGAAATCTATTGAAAAACAACTAAAAACCAAGATATTTTCAATTCCAAATAAACAAATACTTTAATAAATAATAGACTTTGTCAAGTCTTAAGTGCAATTATTATGTGCATTCTTCAATTCGACTGTTGCCCTCACAGCCTCACTATTTAGCTTAGAGTTTGTGTGCTTTTAAATTTAACACTTTTATCATATTTATTAATATATTTTATAAATTTTTATTCGTATCAGTTCGTGTAACAATGACAATTTATTATTGCACTTATAAAAAATTTATGAAGCACCAATTTTAATTTTAAAAAAATCTAAATAAGAATGCTTTTTTTTTTAAAAAGCATTTAAAAAGTACATCATTCAATGATAACACATAATTTTAATAAAGCACATTTGCAAGCATTTAAATAATATTTAGTTCAATAATAACGCACATAATTAATAGTAATAAATAATAATGCACAATTTCAATTTTAAAAAAACACTTGTAATTCATAAAAACCTTCTTACAAAACAAGCTTTTTGATTAAATATATTAAAAAAAAATAATCTTTTTTGCTTTATTAGATAAAATTAATATAGTCTGCTAGATTTCAGGATTTGTGTGTCTTTTAATATTTATTAATTATTATCAAATATTATTATTCATAATATATTTAAACATAGAGCAGACATTTTATTATTCATACATATATAATAAATTAATCTTGAGATAGTTGAAATATAATAATATACTACTTTAATATATTATTCACTTAGCAATTCAAACGATTAATTCGCTTTTCTAGGATTACCTTGTATTTTTTATTTTATATAATATTATCGTTTAAGTATTTATTTTATTGGATCTTGCCAAAGTTCTTTTTGCTATGTTTATTTTTTTTTTAATATTATTTATTTATGCTATTTTTTTTTTTTAAAACATGAAACACGTGGTCGGAGTGTTGCTAAAGTTTACCATAATATTATTATTTTAATTTATGCGCGTTTTGTCGTGTCTTATATTTATTTATTATAATAATTATTATTTTTTTTTTTTGTAACACTTAAGTCTCATTTTGTTTAACGGTTTTGTTTTGTGCGCTCTGAAAAGAAAAACAACAACTGTTTTAAAAAAATAAATCATCCTACACGTTTCGTTACCATATTTTATAAAATAAGATTATCATTGTATTTTTTTTTTTACTTCACCTTACACACCTTTTAATTATTATTATATTGTCTTTTTTTTTTTTTTGAGTCGCTTTAATTTATTGTGTTTTGCGTGGCCACGATGAAATATTATATTTAAATGATTTATGATATAAATAATGTTTTGTGGTGCATAACATGAAAATTATATTATATTAAATCGTGTCGCGCAAACAACTGAGTCTTATAAAGTGTAATAATATTTAGATTGATAGTTTTACTTATTATTAGTAATATTTATTATATTATATAAGATTTAGTTAGCCGAAACAATCGGTCGAACCGCATAAAATGTTAGTCATAGTATTAAGTCTTTTTATCTATTAAAGTAGTAATCATATTATAAAATGCTTATAATAAAAATTATTATCGTCATTATTGTACTTAATAATATAATGTAATAGTGTCATTTAGGTATAATATTAATAGACGAGTAGTTGTGACAAAATAAAATTGTAGTTTTGAAAAAATAAAAAATTATTATACTTGGAGAAAAAAAGTCCTGGTTTTTTTTTATTTACCTTATCTGACATACTACTATAAAACTATTTTAGTTTACACAAGTGTAATAAAAAACCTTGGGAGAATTTAAATAATACATTTTTATTTAATTAAAAATTCATACTTCAAACATACATAAAACTCAAATAATCAACACAATTGTATGTGCATTTAAATATATAAATCCAAATAACCGTTTAAAAAAAAAATCCATTTTCAACTAGTTTAGTTAATAAAATATACAAAATTTGGAAAATAATAAAAACGAACCAATTACTTAAATAAAATCTCCAATAATAAAATAGAAGTTAAATGTTCATTTACAAAAACATATTTCCTTAAATATGTAATTTGTATGTACAAAAAAACAAGATTATACCTTATCGAAAAAGAATGTGTAAATATTTATTACAGAAATTATTGAATTAAAAAATTATTCAAATGAATCAAGTCAAAGTAATGATAAAACAAAAATGTAATTAGTTTTTAAGTAAACATATTTTAAATAACTGTTTTTAGACAAATTATTGCAAAAAAATAATTATCCATCCAAAGAAACACTTTTGTGAAATCGCAAACAATTTAGGAAAAGTGTCTGAATAAATTATTTTTCTTTTTTCTTTCGGTGTAACGTCTTATTTCCCCAACTTGTAAACGGATTAATGCTTCGTCATAAATCCGGTTTACGGTCTAAGCGATTTTTTTTTTGATTTTTTTTTCCCTCTCCAAAATTAGTCGTATCAGTTGGTTCAGGGAAACGAAATGGCTATTCATTAAGGCGCAAAGGATAGGCAATAAATTGTCGTGAATGGGAAACCTTTGTAAAAATGCGAAATACTTTAAGTGCCAACTAGTTTTGGTGGGTTATTCTAGTTACAAGACTTGTATAGTTCTATTTTCTCTATTCGCCAAGGTGAAATATTGATAAAAAATAACTTTGATTTATAGACAACGAAAGCGTGAGTGCACACTGACGGCACTGTTATGGGTTTTTTTATTCTTACCAAAGGGGAGAGAAGATCAGCGTCTTCCTTTTGCAACTGTAATAACGGGCGTTAAGTTGTCTGGCAACTTGGAAGACAGTTTTGATTTGTGGGTCTGAGTGTACAGAGTTAATAGTTAGACACGCAGAGAGGAGCGTTTGTTAAAAGGCAAAAGTATTTTGTTTTATGACACTTGTAGTTTGTTTAGGTTAGAGTGTTTTGCAGAGCCCTCCCCCCCCCCACAGTTGTATTCCATCAGAGGTCCACAGAGGTTTGAGTTTAGAGTGTGTACAAACTGAGTTTTGTATGTAGTGATATTTTATATGAAGTGATCGTTTTGATTTATAGCGTAGGAAACGTTTAAGTATTTTGCAAGCGGTAGTTCAGTTTCAGTTTGGTGGAGTGGATGTGATGAGTCCAAGTAAGTTTAGTCCTCGTTAAGTTACAGGTTGTGACCTAAATCATGACAGAAAAATTAGGAAAATATGCAAACCGCTATATTTACCATGGAAAATACAAATATTTAGAATATAATCTTCTATGTTGTAAAAAATTTACCTTAAACTATTTTAAGAATTTTATAAAAATGTTTTGTGTATAAATGCAAATTTAAAATGTCTGAATTTGTTCTGAGAACAGTTCTGCATTAAACAAAAAAAACATATGTATTTGAAATAAATGTTAGAAAATGTTTCTAACGTACAAAACACAAAGAAAATAACTTAAAACGCATTTTTTTTTTCAATTTTGAGATAACTAACCAGACTTTGATTCAGCAAAACCTTAAAAAGATATAATGTAATTTTGATGCAGAGTTTCTTAGTTTAAATGTATAATATTTTATTTGCTCATTTAGATTTCTATAATAGTTTTTTAAAACTGCAACTCTCTGATTCTTATACTGTGTCACATTGACAACCTGTTGAAGAGTTCACTTTAATGAACATTCTGTTCATATTATTGTCTATCAGTTATCAATCAAAGTACTGTGGTTGTCGCATTAAGTTTTTAAGTGTCAAAAACATTATCTAACAGACTGTAACCATGTAAACGAATGCGCATAGATATCAAACAAAATTTTAAGCTGTAAGGTGTATCAAAAACTATTATAGTTATATTTAAATTTTATACTTGGCATTTTTACCTTTAAATATTTATACTTTTCAATAATCATACGTTAGAATATTTCCAATGCATTAAGTTTCAAAGTATTTTCATCATAAAACGCACACCTAATAAGTTGACATTACAACGGATTTATAATATCAAATTATTAGTTTTTATAGTTTACAATAGAAATAGAAATAATAGAGTATTTAGATAAAAAAAAATGTAATAGATGAAGATGACTTATGGGATATGGCATAGGCTAAACGGGTAAAAAAGTATACACATTCGCCAATTATGATAGAGGAAGAGCTAAGTTTTAAATTGTACTTTTTTTTTGGATTTTTATATATGGTCACCATAGTCATAGCCCACCTATTCGATAGCTAAGACTCTTGAAAGTTCTAAAGGTTTAAAAAAAATGCACTATACAATATGATCTATGCGGTGATATTATTTTGTCATTGTCTATTGATAAAAAGTCAACGAGATCAGGTTGTGTGTTTCTTCGGAACATAATTATTAGGTATTTGTGGACTTAGATCTTGAACGACGTCTAAGAAACCATACAAGTTCAATCAAAAATACAATTGGTTTAATAAAATAATGTACAATGAATCGGTTGTCATTTTTTCTCCTGGAATAGGCCTTCCTAATCTACTTGGTATTTTATTCACATAAGTTTCGTAGTAACTTTATTGTTGATTTGTTATGTTTATATTTTCATTCCTTCCGCGCTATGTCGTTAAGATGTTGATTTTAAGTATTCCTAGTGTCGTTAAACACATAATGTAAATAAAACAAAATATTAAAATATAATAGTTCGGGAATCAGTATCAGAGTACCAGATCGGTAAGAAACGATGTACTAAAGTGATACTTTGTTTTATTTTAAAGTTTGGCAGACAATACATTTTTGTAAGAAAGTGTGAATTCCACAATGATGTAAAGTACGTTGGATACTGATTAAGAGAGATGAGTAAAAACTGAGAATGTTGAGATAAATATGTGTAGGGTGGACAATTTGGAATAATTTTAGAGGAAGAGATAGTGGAAATAGTAGAGAAAACTTTGAGATGGTTTTGGCATATAGAACGAAGAAAAGAAAAGGTAAATCGAGTAAGAGAGGTGTAGAAGTACAGTAAGACCGAAAAAGAAGTGAGTGAATGAGTTGGAAGCACAGGATTTGGCTGACCTGCTCCTTTTGCATTGGAAGTTTTTTCGTCCACAGTTCATACCTAAGATATTACTTTCCAGACCTGATATGACTGTAACATGTTGATGGTGAATTTTAGGTTCGATCGCCAACATCTAAGACGCCATGTCGTTCACATTCAATGCGTTAATGTGGAAAAGCATCCAAATCAGGAAATGTTACTGGAAGACCACCGCGATCGAGTTGTTGATGCCCATCGTGCTGTTCGCATTTCTGTTTAGCGTTCACAAGTACAGCTCCAACATTCAGTCCTCGTCGACGACGTTCGTCAACGAATCTATCATCGGGCCTACGCCCGAATCCATGTTGCCTTTGTCCAGAAATTCTTACATAGTCTACACGCCTCCGGTGGAAGCGACGCATGCAATCATGGACTTGGTGGAGGAAAAGCTCCAGTTAAACAAGGGAATCGAATTCACCGGCAGCGAAGAGGAGATGATCGTCATGCTCAGAGATCACTTCGACAACCGACGCCGAGCCGAAGACGGCACGTTGGGCTTCGGACTGGTTTTCGCCAAGCACACCAACAAAGGTGACTTTAAGTACGAGTACACGATCCGACCCACGGACTCGGCGCCCACCAAGCAGCTGTATCCGACCACCGAGATGCCGGGTCCCATGAACAACCAGGAAACGTACGCCAAGGGTTTCCTGGCCCTTCAGCTGGCTGTGGACAAGGCTTTGGTCGAAATCAGCGTGTCGGATGCGGCCAACAAAGAACTGAACAACTACCGGCTGAACATCGGCCCGTATCCGTACAAGAAGTTAGCGATGAGCACCACCACGTTCAATCAAAAGATTTTCCGCTGGCTGATGGAGCTGATGACGTTTATAAGTTTTCTCATCACTAGTCTCAACACCATCAGGTGGGTAACCGAAGAGAAGAGCTCGGGAGCCAACGAGTTCTTGAAAGTGATGGGCCTCGAGCCGAACACCATACGCATCGGCTGGCTACTGCACAACGTCCTCGGCATGTGCCTGCCCATAACGTGCATCACGTGGTACTGCTGTTACGCGCAGACCATGGACAAAACGAAAATATTCAACTACACGAGTCCCCCGCTATTCTGGGCGTTTCTTATGATGTACCTGATAGCCGTATCGTTTTACTCGTTTGCAGTCAGCACCTTCTTTTACAGGCCGTCGTTGGCTATGTTTTTCGGCGTGGTCCTGTGGTGCATCATGTTCGGTGTCACCTGGTGGATCCCGAAAATCTGTTACGGCCTTAGATTATCCGCGATGCTGCTGCCCACCGTGGCCATGTCTAACGGGTACTTGGTCATCACTTCCATGGAAATCCAGGGCCGGGGAGTCCGCATGTCCAACCTATCCTCTACGGGCCGCGGCGACGTCGAGTTCTCATTCGGTTTCGTCATGTTCATGTTGTTCTTTGACTCGATAGTACTTGGAGTCATCGCCTGGTATGTGGAAGCCATCAGACCGGGCAAGTACGGCATCGCCAAACCGCTGAACTTCCCATGCGTAAAGTCCGATGCCGTGAGAGATTCCAACATTGACGAAACGACAACGGACACGTCGCAGCCGAACAAACCGACCACAGGAAAGAGGGACAAACTGTTCGAAAAAGTACCGGACAGTTGGGAATTGGGCATGAGCGCCCGAAGTGTGCACAAACGCTTCGGCAAGATCGAAGTCGTCAGCGGAGTGGACTTGGAACTTTACAAAGGGAAAATCACCGCTCTGCTGGGACACAACGGATCCGGCAAGACCACTACCATGTTAATCATGACCGGTTAGTGGTACCGAATAGTAGGTTTGACCGGACAGTATGAGATCAATGTTCATCTGACTTCGTGTCCAATGTTCTTAGGCCACAACCTATCTATAATTGTATTTGTTTTAATCCAATTAATTGGCACAGGACAGTTGTCGCCTAATCGCGGAGTGATCCAAGCAAACGGCACGAACATCAACCGAAATTTGCCGAAATTTAGAAAGAACATTGGAGTGTGCCCGCAAAGGAATCTGTTGTTACCGTATTTGTCGATCATTGATCATTTGGTGTTTTACGGAATGGTAAGCGTACGACGGTTCGGCATTTGGCTTTTATGTTTTAGTTACAGTCGCGTTTCAGCTGAAAGGAATGCCTAAAGAAGACGCCATAGTCAAAGGCCATGAGATGCTAGATAAATTTAAAATCACCAACAACCCAAACGAAGTAGTCAGACACCTTTCGGACGGTGTCAAGAGGAAATTGTCCGTGGCCATAGCTTTAATAGGCGATCCCCAGGTAACCTGTAACTGTTTACTACCGATATGACTGTGATCTCGGTTTTCGTTTCTTAGATCATTATACTCGACGAACCCACGACTGGTATGGATCCCGAATCACGGCGATTGGTATGGGACATGCTCTTGGTAAATCTATTTGCCAGCACTTAGTATCCATTTGGATTTGACCAATTTTTTTTTTCGCAGACAATCCGAACAACCAAAACGATTCTGATCACCACGCACTACATGGAAGAGGCCGATTTGCTGGGCGACAGAATCGCCATAATGGATAACGGCAAGATAAAATGTTGCGGTTCGGCGATATTTTTGAAAAACGCTTATGGTAATAATAATAAGTGGCCATGTCCACCAGAACACACAAAATGTTTATTTGGGGGTTTTTCCTTGAACAGGTACCGGATATTACTTGACAGTTTTAAAACGAAAAACGTGCGACACCAACGATAAACTAATCGAAGACGTCAAAAGAATCGTGCCGGAAGCGGAAGTGATAAACTCTTTTGGCTCCAAAGTGGTTTTCAACTTGCCCAAGGAAAGTTCCAAAGATTTTACCGCGCTGCTCCGGACGCTGGAACAAAAAAAGGAAGAATATTGTATCATCAGCATGGGAGTATCTTCGACGACCATGGAAGACGTTTATCTGAGGTAATTGCGTTGATTTATTTTGCGTGTACAATATTGTTAACTTAGAATCATACACTTCCGTTTCAGTTCATATTCGAAGCGGAAAAGTATAGACGGAGAGTCGTCGATATCGACAAACGAGAGCGTCGAACAGAGTAATTTTTGTTTATTTTGGCGTTTCGAAAAACCGCATTAATTTTCAATTTAAAAATATTATCTTGTCCTTTTCCAGTGACAGAAAAAAAACCTCTGGACAAATTCCATATGTGTTTAAACCAATTCGTGGTGATGATGATAAAAAAAATGCTTTACACCAAAAGGAGATGGCTGTTACTATTGTGTTTTGTAAGGGTTGTCCATCCCGTGATTGTCCTGTGGATCACAACGATAACAAACAATTGTGCTTTCAGGGTTTTTTGACCGTGATTTTGTGCGTTTTATCTGTACTGATGAACTATATTATATTGGACACTAAACCGCCGTACCCGTTGAAGATGGAACTGAAGAATTACCGAGAAAGCCTCGTCCACTTCCGGCGATTGGGCAACACCACCGAACACAATCTTATATCCCGATTTCTAGGCATTTCTAAGCAACACCAAGCGAAAGAATTCGATATCTTGACCCAAACAAACTTGACCTCCGGTAAAGAGCACATTAGTCGAGCGCCTATGTGTGTTTTTGGATATTTCTGATACCGTGTGTAACTTGTGTGCGCAGATCTTCTGATTTTCTGCCAAAAAAATGAATTCAAGTACAGAACGAATCTCATACTGGCCGGCGAATTTGAGGACTACAACACTACCATTTTGTACAACACTATAAGTTACCACGCTTCGCCAATAGCGATAAACATGTACAGCAACGCGCTGTTGCAAAAACTAACTGGCGTCGAGGACGCTTGGATCTCTACCACAAACGAACCGATCAATTTCCACGAGGTACACGGTTGTAGTAGTAAGACAATTTGAGGAGGTCGAATAGACAGAATTTCCTTCTCTTGGATCCGATCATCTCACTCACTGATTGTTGTTTCAGGCTTTTTGCGATTACGATGGTATTTCTCTGAAGCTGACAGTAGTTCCCGTTTATATCTTCTTGTTCGCATCGAGCTTCCTGTTTTTGTCCAGTCAGTTCATTGCCCTGCCACTGGAAGAGCGGGTGAGCGGCATAAAGCAGTTGCAGTTGATGACTAAACTGTCCCCAATGGTGTACTGGTCAACGTGCTTCATTTGGGACTATTTGTGCTACTCGATTATTGCTGTAATCACTCTGGCGGTGGTGTATCAATACGACCGGTACGGCATACTCACTAATCCCAAAGAAATTGGTAAGTTAGCAATAAATAAGTATTAGACAATAATAAGTAATAAATATTAGACAAGGCAACTGATAATCTGTATTGAAACGGGGCTTTGTTTTTACATTTCAGTTGTTTTTATAACGTTGTTGCTCGTGTACGGATTCAGTTCAATATTTTACGTGTACCTTTACAGCTACTTTGGCAAATCGTTGGTCAGCTCTATCACTATATTCATAACAATTAACTTCGCTTTGGGTAATCGCCATATTTTTATTTGTTCATAATAACAAACTGTGTGTTGTGTAGTGAGGCTTGCATTTGTTTGGTGCTCGCAGGATTGATGGTCAATATGTTAGTGTTACTGTTCAAAGCAACACTGTCCGACCATTGGAAGACGATACGACTGTTAGTGTTGCTAATACCGAATTTTTCTTTTTCGCTGTGTATCGCCGAGTTTGTGACCATTACTTGGTTGAGATACAAGTGCATGATTTGCCAAGATCCGTTCTTCTTGAGACACTCGTGCGACGGTGTTGGTCAGTGAGTGGCCAGACGATTGTCGACAAAACCTATATGTATTTTTTATTACGGTGGTTATTCTAATTTCACTGCATTTTTTTTTAGGTGTCAGAAGGATCATGTATTTTGTTTATGCTAACGAAGATAACCCCAATGGACTGCTGGAAGAGTTTTATTGTATGATCGCTGGTGGTGTCATCTCCATGATTATCATCATGTTGGCAGAGTACAAAGTGTTCTCGGCGATTCATGCGATTTTTGAAAACCTATCTGTCGGAAAAGGAGGTCAAAAAGAAAGCACAAAGGACTCGGAGGTCCAAGCGGAGAAAAGCCGGGTCAAAGCCGCCATGAAGAAAGACAGTGGTGTGTGCAAATTTATGCTATCAACTTCACGGATTGTGTGTGGAAATTGAGGAGCTAATGTAGCTAAAACGAAATGTCAGGACTTGTGAGGAGATAAAGAGAAGATTGCAGACTAGAGGATAAGAGTGATTGTTGTACGTGTTTGAGTGGATGCTATTCCTTCAATTATGTGTAACCCAGTTAGGGATAGCGACCGAATTGACGACTAACGGTTTGTTTAGAAGAATCGTGGGAAACACCGCCACCGCCTTTGATTGTTAGCAACTTGACAAAAAAATACAGTATATCGTTTACTGCAATTCGGGGTGTCAGTTTTATAGTTGATAACGGCGAATGCTTCGGTTTGCTCGGCACGAACGGTGCTGGCAAGTCAACCGCATTTCGAATATTGACTGGCGAGACTTTCCCATCAGACGGAGACGCCGTCATCCATGTGAATGGCAAAAAATACAAGCTCAACTCATTTTACAGTAACGTAAGTGAAAACTCGATTGGATAATATGGTCAGACAGTACTTGTGTATGATTTGTCTTTTTCTCAGTACCTTAACATGATCGGGTACTGTCCACAATCCGAGGCGATCAACAGTTGGCTTACGGCCAAAGAGACGCTCACGATGATGGCTTTATTGAGAGGATTGCCCGTTCGAGACGCCAAGGCGGAAACGGACATGTGGATTAGACGATTAGGTGTTTGTAACCAATCACTTTCGTTGTATCACAGGCGATACAACGGCATGCTAACCGTATATAACGTTGATTTTATTCAGATTTAGAAGAGTACAAAGATAGACTCGCCGACACGTACAACAATGGCAACAAGAGGAAGCTAAACGTCGGCATGGCGTTGATCGGAGACCCTCCTGTTGTCTTTCTGGACGAGCCCACCAGTGGAGTAGATCCCACAACGAAACGCAATTTATGGAGAATATTGGCAGGAAAGCGAAGGACCGGTCAAGCTTTCGTGCTTACGTCTCACAGGTGGTCAATTGAAGATATTATACTCATACTTACATGCAGTGAAGGGTTAACGTCTAACATGCCTTTTTACCCTATGGTTGGTTGCTTTAGTATGGAAGAATGCGAAGCGCTATGCGATAGGCTGACCATAGTGGTGAACGGCGAGATGAAATGCATTGGGGACGTGGAATACTTGAAAACCAAATACGGTCAGGGATACACGGTCATAGTAAAATTGACGGAAATCAGTGACCTGAACTTGAGCGAACTCGAAACGAAAGTGCTGGCGCAATACTCGCCGAAAATCATTTTAAAAGACAAACACATCGTAGGGGTTTCAATCATTTTTTTTTTGTATTTTGCTGAACACAATACATCTTTCTCTATAATGTCTGCCGGACCTTTGCGTTTCAGGGTTTGTTGCATTATCACATTTCCGACAGTGCAGTAAAGTTGTCCGAAATCTTCGGTTTCATGGACAGTGTCAAAGAGAATTTTGTGGGCGTCGAGGATTACACCATCAGCGACACGTCCCTTGAACAAGTGTTTATGTCGATCGCCAAAGGAAAGGCCATTGCCAGTCGAGACCTATGAGAAACGTCAGTTTTTTTACTGCTCATTATATTATTTATTTTTATTTTTTTAATATTGAAACTTTTCAACGAAATCGTGCCAACATTTTTAATTATTACCTCCACCCCATTAAGCGTATTCATTATAAAAGGAAAAATTATGTTTTCATGTTAAGTAAAAATGTACAATATCCAATTTAAATATAGCTTAGAAAATGTTTTTTTTTAACTATGTCCATTGTACATGTTATGTTATATTTTTCTGTATACTTGGATACATTTCAGAAACGGTATTGATTTATGCACATTGACGTTGTATACTGCTGCTTTTAGTAAGTATTTAGGGTTTGATTGTCGTTTGATTTTGCTGAGGAAGATGTGTAAGAGCAAGTCAATTTAAAGCCATTGGTTATGGTATATTATGATAGGTATAAACTATATTAGTTAATTATTATAATTGCGAGTCCCTAAATTATTATTATTATTCACTTTTCGGTAACAAGTTGTCTATTATAATATTATATAATCACACTCTGTCAGTAGCATATCCAGGAAAGGGGGTTAGAGGATAATAATATTGTAACAACTTAAAAGAAATCAATTTAAAAAAGTAATTGTTTACACATAAATTAAAACAGTTTAAAACTTCAGTAATTTAGTAAAAGTAATTATCCAAAACTGACTATGTTCAGTCAAATATTTCAGCAAATTATTCTTATTTGAATTGTTAATTAAATTACTGTCTAAATAAAACAATTGTTTACCTACTTTTTTCTCTCCCCCTCCCTCAAATCAATAGTAGCATAATATTCAAATAAGAAATCCCTAGCATTTCAGATAAGTTAGCTTAACTGGTGTACACCTTAGTGATTTTTTGTTATGTAACTATAATAGGAAATTTAAAATTTTGATTTAAAACATCCAACTTGAAAACTAATCAAAATGTACAAAACTGAATATGGCGCTTCAAAAAAAAACTGATATGTCACTAAAAAATTGTTTTTATCGAGTAACACCCCGTTGAAACTGATATAACTGATAACTTGCAAAAATGTCAACATGAACTATCAAAAGAAGGATATTCAAGTGTCATACTTAAACTTACAACATATTTTTTAAAAAAAACTACAAAATTGTAGTAGCCAATATTGTTCTAAGAACAAACGAGTGTCTTAGCATCTGTGAATCACCCTGTATAGGTAGTGTTATCTTATTATAATATTGGCATTCGACAGATTCCTCCGGTGATTCGCCATTCGAACGGTTACCACCTCTTTTTTTTTTTTTTATGAGTTTATGGGAAGTAATTTATTCTTTTTTGTTGTGGATTGCGGAAGCCGCTGTCTATGAGTGTATGTATTTATCTTATATGGTTATAGGTAAACTGGTCGGAGAAACGCGTGACACACACCGGCTCGGTCAGTGAAAGTGAAATCTCCACGACTGACTATAAAAATATAGGTATGTAGGTATGGCCACGGTAAACTTAATCGGGGTCGAAGCTCTTTTTATTTTATATTTTGGGGGGAGGTTAGGTTTGTCGGATGCAAAAACGGTCTGGAGTGGATCCGATCGGATTTCCAAAACTAAGCACAACCAGAAATTTTGTTTTATAAAAAAAAAAACCCGTCGTATTCAACATAAAGAGAAAAAAATAAATTCAAATGGAATCGGCCAATACTGAAACAAAATTACGTATTTAAATTATTATACATATACTATATGACCATATTCGTTGATGTTGTGATGTTTGTTTTTCTTTAGATCTTGGCTCGAGGGAATTCCAGTATTACCCATTATGCGGTAACTGCGGTAACAACACGTTTGGTTATTGACGTTATCGGCTCCCATTACAATCCGCTACTTATTTGAAAAAATTATATATTATATCAGTATAAATTAGCGTTGAATGCTAATTAGTTTCATCGCCATCCGGTTAGCGGTGTTATATAGTTTATTAAAAATGTGTTTACTTAATAACAGATATTGCATATCTGTGTTACCATAGGTAACCGCGTTCTAACCACAGCGGTAACTGGTAGTGCTCTGTTCCAAATATTGTATTATTAAAAAACGTGTAAATTATCTTTGACTTTCGACAATTCTAAGCAAGTATATTGTTCCAAGTTCATAGTTTTTCTAGTGGAATAAGTAATACACATAATGCCGTGTCTTTTTTTTGTCTACAAGAAATTTACATAATTATATGTACACTACACAAAACCATATAATTATTATGGACGACAACTGTCAAGAAATGTTTTGTTTCGAGCCCGCTGACATTCAAGGTTCGGACTGGTTTTTTTTTGCGAGTAATAAGTTTTTTGTACTTGTTATTTAAATTTTTTGAAATCGGTTTTTGCGGTTTTCCAAAGCGTCTTCACATACCAAACACACGCCTCTTTAGGCCTACCGTTACTTTCCCACCGTTTCTCTAATGATAATAAAAAAAAAAAGGTAATTACTGTTCAATTTTCACTTATACCACCATAATAATCTCTTAAAAAAAAAACTTTATCACTTCTTTTTTGTCGGGCTTTTTTTATTTATATAAAATTTCACCGATTGAAATCTATTTGACATTTGAAAACATTTCATACTAGTATATTTTTTTTCTTATACAAATATAATAGAATACAGCTATAATAAAATAAATGTATGTATGCATTTCTTTTTATGAGTACCCGCAGCAATAAAATTAAAAGATTTTTTAAAATGTCAAATATGTTTTGGCGAGAAATCTACTATATTTTGTAAGTAGTTATTTTCAAAATATTTTTAAAAAGAGATTTGAGTGTTGGAAATAAATTCAAAAATTGTTTATGTAAATTCAAAACATTGACAACATTAAATTTTTTTCAGTTTTTATTTTGGAAAACAGTAAACGTTTACCAACTCCGACAAGTTATGAATTTGAAACAAATACTATATCTATTATTGAATAACGTGGGAGGTGCAGCTTTAAAGGAAACTAATAGTTTTCTAATAGCCGTATACCGACGATATTTAGACGGCATTTAGATTGACATACTAGTGTACATCGAGTATGTACATAAATAGTCGAACAAGTAAGAATTTAATCGCGTTAGGTTATTTTTTTGTGGGGGAGGGTTTAGTTGGCTGAATATATTCATTTCTATTTGGCCACAAGTATAGGCATATCATGTCTGAATCCAAACCGGTGAACCTCGCGCCGAGTTCACGTCCACGTGTTCGACCTTACAAGGATGGCTTGTGCACACATCTCGGTAGATGATGATGATAATAATAATAATAATAATAATAAATACCTACCGATTGTAAAATAATATATATCGTATATTATAGTGTTACGGGTACGGCTAATCGTGAGACCGACCGTACCCGACAGTAGGTAATAATCATAATATGCAACGCGTCGGATAAGATCAAGATGAAGGAGAAGGAGGAAAATAAATAGTTAAAAATTACACACACACACACACACGGAGAAGACATTATGCGAGAGTGAAAAAAAAAAAGAAAAAAGAAAGTGGAAGTGGTTCCTGAAATCTCGTCCGGACGACCGGGTTAGGTTATGTAACACACTTATGGGCAATGGCTGTTATGTTAAATAAAGCTGTATTACATCAGGACGTTACGAGTCGGCCCCAATACGAATGTAGGTAAACATGCCGAAGACAAAAATGAGCAAGCAACCTATTTTGTTTAAGCTCTCCAATCGTTAAAAACTTGGTAAAAAAAAAAAAAAATTTTTTTTAAATATACTCTACATTTTTAGCCAAATAAAACTCTCGACAAATTAAGAGTTTATTCGAGCCGAGCCATCAATTATTAATCATCAATAGTGTACATTAGACGATTTTATTAATCTCTACAAAACAATAATAATCGAGCAAAAGTCTTGACAAAATGCACCAATTTCTTTTGGCCCGCGAACCGTCCTTCAAGGAACCCCACTAAAGTTTCCACTTACTGTATTTACACACATTTTATTAAGTTTTCTGTCGACTTGTTCGAATCGAAAGCAAATACATTAAAAATAAATAATTGTAGTAAGAAAGTAAAAAAAAAAAAAACCGTCGAATTTGTCTCGGGTTTTACAATTTAGTACACACCTATTATTGTAATAATTTGTAACTAAAATTTTGAGAAAATTAATTTCAATTATCTTAATAAGCTGAATAAAAAAATAATTTTAATCGAGATATGTGTTAAATTAAATGTCGCGTTCTTAACTTAGCTAAAGTTTAAAAACTTATGTCAACTTAACGCAAATTAGTTTATTATGCCTTATTTATTTAATTCATTTTATTGTTGTTATTATTTTATTAAATTTATTTTTATTTTTAAAATAATCATAAATGTGTTTTTAAAAACAATAATGTTTTGATTAGATACCTATAGTTAATTGATTTATTTCAAAAATTAAAAAATGTGAGTTTACAATTATTGTTAATCTAATTAACAGAATCACAAAATAAGTCATTTATTTGAGCAGATGTAAAAAAAATTGGTCTATGATTAAGTTGATCACAATTAAGGTATAAATAGTCAAATTCAAATTGAATAAGAATTTATAAATTGATTTGAACCTATTTACAAGTTCTAAGATAATGTTTTTTTGTTTAAATAAAATTGATAATTACTAGTAAATAATTAATGTGAAGTAATTTACTTGTAAGCAAAATAATATATCATAAAAGCCAGAGATAAAATTTTACAAACTCGAGTCGTGCTTTTTATCACATTAGCTATTTTTATCAAAACGTTTGTTAACGCTTATTGTTAACCTGTTTAAGAATTAATAAAATTAGGTAAGTAAACTTTAAAAAAAACACTCTTCTCGCAGTGAACTTATGTAGTGGTCGTTTTAACTAGTAATGAATTAAATCTATGACTTTATAGTTTTATTAATTAATTTTTTATTTGTTTATTTTAAATCGTAATAAACTATAGCTTTCATTTTAAACATAATTTCGAAACGGTGATCTCATCGGACGGCCGGATAGGTAATTATTATTGTCGATCACTGTTCAAATATAGATATGACGTGATATGTGCACACTTTCTTCGACGATGGCCCAAATAAATGCGGTTACACTCAGTTACGCCACTTGGAGTCATTCGTGCTAACGGGAAGCAAGTTGATCAAGTATGAGTACATCCGATATTGTGTTTATATAATATAACAGCAATCCACAGACCCCATCAAACTCACTATTAAGACTGATACGAAAATTTACAACCATTATGACCTAAAAACGCCCTGAAAAGCCTGAAAATGTGTACTGAAAATTCACAATAAATACTCAAAACTATGTTATTTTCGACACTGGTATTTTTTTTTTTTGAAACCGACTCGTTAGTAGGTTTTTTTTGGGTAATACTGTAAGTCGTGTACCTAGAAATTTGCCATCCACACGATTGGTAAATTATGTAATATTTTATTCTTAACGGACGGCCAAAGGAAACGCTATTCCATTTCCAGGAAACACTATTAAACACTCGTTACCGAACAGCGTTCCGTAATTGGATAATAATAATAATTTATTGCACTAATCGATTATAGTAACTCAATAATAATTATTAGATATAACAAGTATCTGCGTGATACTTAGGTGCTTAAAACACTTTTGTGCTGGTACCCTTGTGCGCTTCAAAAGATTTATATGCCAATACAATTTGAACAAAATGTCCATTTTGGTCATTTGCAGTGCATCGACATAAAGATTGTACGTACAAAACCGTATAGAACAATTATTTTCCTTGGACAGATTTTCACGGTCCAAATCAATTTTCGACATCTTTAAGGGTCGTTGCAGACCGGCTAAGAAGGGATGTAAAATTAGCACAAATTGAAAATAATTTCCATAAATAAACAAGCTATAAGTAATCACCGCAATCCTTGATCCTTGATCTTTGGCTCACGATAACTGAACGTTCAAGGTCTATGCGGGTGGCTGCCAAAAATTGTCGATGCCAGTGGTTCGCCGTATTGCAGGTATCATTGTTGTTGTCGGCTGTTGGATAGAGTCTGCTTTTATGTTAAGATTTACACACTAAACATGTTTTTATCAATTGTTTTTAACTGCTATATTGTTAACACGTAACGTAGCGCGTGAGACAAAACAGTAAAATATGAACTTTTAAACATTTCAAAAAGCCCGCCAATTATTTTGATACCCACTAATTTGCCACTGGTAGCGCTGATGGCAGCGTTCATTTTTCGTGAGCCGGACTATAGTGCGCATCGATAAAGGATCAAGGATCAAGGATTGTGGTGTTTCGGTACTTTATTCGTTTGGAACCGTCTTAAATGACTAGTGTGTCTGTGCTAAAACAATGGTAAGTAGAGAATGTATTATTCACAAAGCTCTAAAGCAATTAACTAAGAGACGGGTTGTGTTAACTTGGTGCTTGTTTGTAGTGATTTTTCTCCGACAAAAAAAAAAACCATTCCCCACAAAACATAGAAATTTGTAACATCTCTTATATTATTTTCTAAGACTTTTTTGAAAACAGGCCTAAGTTGAATCGGTGATTTTAAAAACCAATTCAGTTATTGATTAACTACTCTCTGTATAATTTTGTAAAATTTAAACTACTTACTGGTTTATTGAATTCTGGGTACTATAATCGACTTACCTATAAAACAATTACACAGCACCAGAAAATAATATGATTTCCTATAATATTATACTCTTATTATACCGGCTTTCTTTTACCGGATTCTGTTCACAAAACGAGAACGAATCTATCCAATGATAGTATAATTGTTCCAGTAATAATTTGTGTATTATATTTCATTATTAGGTAACGACGATGATGTGGTATGATCAAAATTATTATTATTTTTTTTGCTATTCCCTTCTAATAAAAAAAATAAAACCTATTACATATCCGGTGGTACATGTAGCTTGTAGCCGACGGGGAAGGGGATAGAGGGGCTAGCAAAGTGGTGGTTAGGCCGTACCACCACTTTGGTGTTATGTGAAATAAAAAATAGGAAAAAATAAACGCCATGACTACCATTTCACCGGACACATTACTTTCACAGGTGGTTTCTGGCGGGACTTTTCTTCGCACTCCAACGCTGCTCCGGACGTTTTTTTGTACCCGAACACTCGAACCGATCACATCAGTCGTCGACCGGCTATTTTGTTTGCATTTCATTATATATATATATTTTTTTTAAGTGTTTTAGTTGCTTATTTACTTACTAAATCTTTGCGGTAACCGTTGGCCGGACAAACGTCGAACGCCGCTGATTGCTTCGACCGAAGCACACAGAAGTTCCAAAGCGATACTCCAAGTCTCTCCACCGGGTAAGTGCGTTGTTATTGTTACTTCATCGTCCGTCTTGTCTACTATATCGGTTTCTCCCGAAAAAAATTTCTCATGCCAATCAAGCTCGGGGGAAATTGGTCGGTAAGTAGTCATTAAACTTCACCAGCCACAAAGGTAGTTTTTATTATTTTTGCCTCTGGAAAGTCGACCGTATATTGTAATTATATGTATTAGGGAAATTGTATTTGAAAACCTAATTTTTGAAAACGTAACAAAAAAAAAATTAGCCTAATCACCTTGAACAGTCGACTTCTCGTTTTCCAAGTACAGATCCGGGCGAACCTAAGTCCGGACAAACTTCAAATTTCCTTTGAACACTATTTTTGAATATCTGAAATTATTTTTTTTGATTATTTAAAAAAAAAAATAATGACAAATTTCATTAATAATAATTTGAGATATAATATAGGTATTATTTTGACTAAAAAAACCCGCTCAAGTGCAAAGTAGTAGATAAATAATATTTAAAAATAACATTTTTCAATCCAAAGCCGTCTTTGGCCGTTCAAAATACTTTCACCAAAAAAATATCATTTAAATATGAGTAAATTTAAACTTTGTACAAACGGATTTAAAAAATATAGGTATCAGTTTATAATTAAACTGTAAATTTTTTTTAATTTTTTTTTTATTTTACAATACGGGAGTAAGCTAAAAACACAATATTTAACAGTTTAAACATCTAACAAAAAACTTAAGTACTATTTATGTTTACAAATAAAATAAATGTCATGCAATAATATTTCACAAAATAAGATTTTTTTTAGATTGGCTATTTTAAATTGTAATTATTCATTTATTAACAATTTAAGGGCAATAATCTTATGTAATAATTGCTCTTCTCGACCGTTACAGCTAGACCGGTCCCGGCCTAAGTAGGTACACAAATTCTAACTATTGTCTTTGGTGTGGCTGTTTTTGTAAGTACCGAATGTCTAGCCTAAATACCTAACCTAACCGGATCTCTTCACTTTGGATAGTACCCATTTGCCGAGTATACATAATGAACGGTGAGCATAACCTGACCGGTTTGTGGTGTTACGTTACCGTCGATTACATGTCTCACGGATCTATTATAATGCATATAACAACATAATAATAATGATACCTAAATGTTATTATTGTATTAAGCACCGCGGTGTTAGTGTGACAATGCGCTTAAGGTGCAGCTAAGAAGCCTAGTGTTACCTACTTAGTAGGCTCGGCACCGTACCCGTGCCTCTGTGGAGAATATTAATTACACCTTTGGCCGTCAAAAGTCTAAGAGGAGAGTGTAAAAAATGTGTGTGGAATTTCAGAGCTGTTGACAATGCGCACTAGGCACTTACCGTCCAAGCTAAAAACCGTCTTAGTTACAATTATGTAATATTAGTTGCGTACTGGGAATGAAATTCAAAAATGTATGATAGAACTCTAAAAATAAAAAAAACACCATAACTGAAAAAAATTCATACCTTAAAGAGGAGAAAAAGCTTACTGTTTGTTGGCAATGCTATACACAAAACGAATATTGCAAACAGCTTTTTTGACCGTTTTTAATATTGAAATACACGTTGGTTGTTCACGAGCGATAAAGATTTATTAAAAAATTTAATGTATTTGTGTACATACAGATTTGAGTATTGGAATCACATTCAGAAAACATTTAAACAGTGCAGTATTCGACTATTATTTACCTAAATTTATAGGTATTGGATCTTGCGCTTCCGGTTCCACTCGGATATATTAGAGCAAATATAGGTCGAGTATGTCATGTTTGTGACTTGAACTAAATACTGCACTAAATATACTTGTACACGTACTTAAATTATTCTAATATTGTAATTGGCACCGACAGCTGCACGTTGGTTTAAAAAGCCAACATACAGGGTGGTCCATAGGAGGATAAGACAATCTCATAACTTTTCATCAAAATAATAGCAATCCACAAATTAATGGTGGGATATTAGTAAAAAAATAACTAGAAGTTGACTATTGATAATAGTTGACAGTAAATCCATCTAGGCCGGATATTATAAAACTACTAAAACATGAAACATGAAATATAAATATATATATGAAATATAAAGAGATTAAATACTGGAAAAATAATTTTTAATGATTTGACCAATTAGTTTTTGTTGCTCATTCGGACAGTATATTATATTTAACAGAACCATAGTTGACATATAAGACATAAACATGTGCCTATGTATCCGCTTGAGTGTGGACACTCGATTTTTTTTTTAATTAGTAGTTTAAAATACTGTTTTGTTTCGACGTTGTTGATCTCGAATATTAAGTTACTTTCTGTATTCAACGACACGGTGTTGGTGTTTTATTGACGTAACAAACTAGTTTAAATTTCGATTTTTTACGGTTATAAAGGAAGTAAAATGCGCGCGAAAATGTTATTAGCCAGTCGAAATAAAAAGTAAATTAAAAAAAAAAAATCAAGTTAATTTATAGTTAATTAAATGTAACAGTTACGATTTAAGTTTTATAAGTTGAAAGAGCGCAGGAAAAAACGACAATAAAAAAGGTAAATACTTGAATAATAATACAAAATAACAAAAACTAAAGTTTCTCCAAAAAGAAAAACTACTAAATTGCGGTTATTTAAAAAGAAAATTAGTGTTTTTTTTTTTTTGTTTAATTGATTACAGATATAATTTTATAGTATTTTATCGGTTTGAAGAAACTACTAAAAAAAAAAAACGCGTTAAGTTATTATAGAAAAAATTAAGAAATTATAAGTTTTGATGGTAAATAAATCAATCGAAATTTGAATTATTTTGGTCATTGTCGTAGAAAGTATGTTCAGATTTTGCTTGACATTTATTTTTTATAGTATCTTCGCCCATCAAAAAAATGTATTAAAAATCAGTTTCTTAAGTAGAATAACCTCAGCTATCTGAAAATAATATTTTTTCGAGTAAGAGAAAGTCATTAATAATCTGAAAACATAATTTTACATGAAATGTGTAAATTTCAAAAGTGGTGAAATTTAATAGAAAAATCGAAAAAACGACCACAGTAATCAAAAACAGTTGAAATAATTATGTGTAAAAATGAGATAATTTTCCACGAACCAATATTTTTCCGTTTAGGGAGAAGTTCTTTAGTGTTTTTTTTTAACTTCTTTACTTCTTTGCAAGCGCCGTTTTAATCGGAATTTTCAATTATTTTACACAGGTTTTCCAGCGACATGGCCGAACAGCGGCGGTGCGTTGCTTGACATAGGTCGTGTACACAGTGTCCTCTGGCCGGTGCCCAATAAGGTGTTGCTACACACCATCTCCAATGACGGACAACAGGGACTTCAGGAGCCGGGATTGGACCGGGGGCGTCGGGTTAGGCGGTGACGTCAGCGAGGTGGAGAACTTCTATAACGGAGCCACGGTGTTCGTGACGGGCGGCACGGGGTTCGTGGGCAAAGCGCTGGTCGAGAAGCTGCTCAGGTCGTGCCGGGGGCTCAACACCATTTACCTGTTGGTCAGATCCAAACGAGGCAAGGACGTGCAATGCCGGTTCGAGGAACTACTCAAAAATCCGGTAATTACAAATTTTGTTTGTGCAACGCCAAAAAGGGTAGACACCCTCTGGAATAGGTACTGCCAAAAGGGGGGGGGAAGGGAAACAGGATATGAAAGATACAGCTGACCCTAACACGCCGTGTCCATGATGTGATCGAGATATTGATTACTCTGGAGCCAAAATAGTGTCATTGTGAGGAGGGAACCGGGAGAGAAGGACGTGGGGTGATGTGGATTCGGAGGGATTCGAGTGTAATAAAGGTAAACCACGATTCCTGAATCGGATCGGAAACAGCGAATCAATCGGCTGTCGTTCCCTTTGCCATGTTATCCGAGTCCAGCAGTATACACGTGTGACTTGTTTTTTTATTCCTAGGTATTCGACCGCATCAGATCTTCTGAAACCGATTCGGACAGCGTGTTCGGCAAAGTGGTGTGCGTGACCGGCGACGTGTCCGACCCGGGCCTTGGTCTGAGCGCCGAAGACAAGCAGAAACTGTGCTCCGAGGTCACCGTGGTCTTTCACTCGGCCGCCACCGTCAAGTTCAACGAGTCCCTGCGCACCGCCGTCACTCTCAACACACTTGGCACGCAGCGGGTCATAGACCTTTGCCGGTCGATGACCAAACTCAAGGCAAGTAATCGTTCGTTTACAGTCAAACAGGACGCCCAAAAGTATAATTGTGACGAGTAGGGCAAAATAGGAGAAGGAGACCATGTCGTACGAGAAGGGAAAGTGTTGTGGCGTCTACACACTTATTGTAGTGTAATGAGAAGGTCGTCTAGTTCGTAACTACATCAGAGCCCAAACATTGCAAACTGTTGGAAAAAAGAGCTACGGTCATTTAAGTCGTGAACCTTTTTTTTACAGGCGATGATTCACGTGTCGACGGCCTACTCGAACGCCGACAAGACGGTCATCGAGGAGACTGTGTACAAGCCGCCGGGCGACCCCGGGCTGGTGATCAACTGCTGTCAAAAGATGTCGGAGGACGACTTGCGGCACATGGGCACGAGGTTGCAGGGCAAACACCCCAACACGTATACCGTGACCAAAGCCATGGCCGAGTGGGTGGTGGCTGAAGGGGCGGACGAGATACCCGCGGCTATCGTCAGGCCGAGCATAGGTAAAACACTTAACGACGTTATCTTCTTCTCCCTCAGCTATTACAGCCTATGTAGCACCTTTGCTGCCTCTACCACTCCTCTCCGCCTATCACTGTCTTGTTCCTTGTGAGATTTCCGTCTTCACCCTTTCTGTCCATCTTTGTCTAAAAATCTGGTTTGCTACACTTTCAGACCTCCTCCAAACATGACCAGCCCCCATTCTAATCTTTTACTTTACCAACGACTTTGTAGGGTTTGAAAATATTAACGTTACATAGCTGGTAAATGCAAACACAGCTAAAAGGAAAACATTAGGGTGTAGTGAAATATATATATATATATGTATATATTTTTTAAATAGTTTTATTTATAATATTAACGTCAGGTAACTTGACTGACTATTTCATTAACATATGTTAGCTTATATGTATTAACTTACCTATTAACTTTGTTATATAGACTAAAAATTTAATTGGACTGAACATGATAGTATTGTAACTCAATTGTTAATATTACATTTAACTTAACTTAAGCAAGTCAATGCAAACCGTTAAATTATAAAGAGGTAATTTTGTGTTGAATGATAAAACAAGGCAAAATGAAATAGTGCTAATAGAACAACTATTCAAAGTACGTCTAATACATTGTTGTTAATGGGGATATAATATTATTGTGGAATAGGTCGAGAAGGCCAACAATAATTAGTCGCCATCGCGCTTTATTAAGTACTTGTAAAAAAAAAGACAATCGTTTTTAATTGTTGCTTAGAATCCTTTTTTTTTTTTTTTTACTATCGTTAATTGTTAATGGACAGGGCAGGAAGAGAGTCGAAGAAGTTAATTAAGTCGGCCTTTAACATACAACTATTGACAATAAATACAGTTTTATTAAGACTCGATTACAGGTTTAAGAATATGTTCCATTATTCATAGACTGCGGATAGGTGTAGGGCTAAACATGTTTTTGATTTATAGCAAGATGGAAGAATGCATGTGTGTGTGTTAGATCAAAATATGTACCTACTATTATAGTTAATTTGTGTCGTCTATGTGGCTTGTACAGTGACGGCAGCGTGGAAGGAACCGTTCGAGGGATGGGTGGACAACATATCGGGAATAACCGGGATCATGATGGAAATCGGCAGGGGCACAATAAGGAGTATCGTTTGCGACCAAAAGCTTCGGGTCGACATCATACCGGTGGACATTCTGGTCAACACGTTGATCACTGCGGCCTGGCACACGGCCGCTCACAGGTTTTGAACGAATCAGTTACATTAATATATTATATTGAAAATTGACCTTTCAAAAAAAAAATAAAAAATGATTTAAAATAAACCCAAAAATCAAAGACCAGAGCATTAAAAATATGTCAATCTGGCTGGAAAACTGTGTAGAGCAATAAACTATTAATTACTGATAAATTAGCACCTCATAAAGGGTACCCAATTGTTGAAATTCGAACAACACACATACATGCCTTTTTAAAGCAGGATGACGCATGTGAAAACGTATGACCGTTTTTGAAAAATACTTTTTGAGTTATTAACATATTTTTAAGTTATGACGACCAAGGAAGTGCAGGTGAATATATTAAATAAAATTATATTCAGTTAACACTTAACATCGCCCCAGTATATACGCCTATGAATGCTAGTAGCTCATAAACTACTTATCCATCATTTTTCTTCTTGTTGGTAAATCTAATCTCACATTGTGCCCATTAATAGAATATTTTCAATTTCAATAGTAAAATATAGTTTTTAATCAAACAATTATTTCATAGAAAAATATTACTGTACCAAGAAAATTGACTAACCCACTTGATGTATTGCATCTCGGATATTTCAAAGCATTTTTTACACTTATAACTCATACACAAGGCTTATCAGACTTTAAGTAAAATGATTTTTCCGATAAAACCTTAATTTTCTAAATATATTGCCAGAAGTATATTTTGTAATCAAAAGTATTCACAATAGTTATTACCGGCTTTTTGGTTATCACATTCAATCTGAATAATTAACACAAATCTGATATTATCGTTACAATGAATTTGTCCGGCACTTTGATCCCTACTTTTGAGGGTAGATCTTTTTTAAAAAATGACTTACCGGGAGACCTGGCAAGACAATTTAGGACCAAGAACCAAGCACTCTTAAATTAATATACTCTATCAACTGCATAAGTTTTTTCTAGATTAGTTTTATGGAAATATAATTTTCGTTTTGGCAACCCTTCTTTTTTTTTTTTTTTGATATTTAACAAGGAAATGATTTATGTAAGTGTGACTATTGTTTTAACCTGAAACTTTTGCAGAACAAACGCCGTCAAAGTGTACAACTGCACTTCTGGGGCTTTGAACCCTTTGCGTTGGGAAGAACTGGGAGGTCTCACGCAATACCATTCGCTTACCGTGCCGTCCAAGTACATCCAATGGTATCCAGGATTTTCCTTCCGCACCAACAGGATGGTGCACAGACTTTGCGAAATCCTGTTTCACTTTGTGCCCGCTTTCGTCCTGGACATAGTGCTCAGGTTGACCGGATCCAAACCCATGTAAGTATAAGTGACCCGGACCAGTTACATTCCTCCTATAAAGTAATCCAGAGTTGTTCCAAATGAGTGTTAAAGAGTGATTAATAATAAAATTATAGAAAACTATTTTGATTTATAATTTAAATATAAACATATAGAACGAATAGTTTTCGTGGATTTCTTTTCAATTAACGATGAATTTAATTTTTTTAGTAAATCTAATCCGTCGTTTTAAGGACATCAGTCTGTACTTAACCAGTTTCGAGTTTAAGTACCAAGTAAAATGGTATTATAAAACGGACCATGTATCATAATTGACAACATAATAATATAACTATTTTTCAGATACTTGTTCACTGTTAATTCTCACTCACATACATACTTAGCAACCTAGAAATTTACTACAGTCAGTGTAATTGTTTTTGGGGTATTTTTAAATAGATAAATCATTGTCTTCTTGAGCAATGTCTTCTCCTTAGCTCTGCATCAAAGCTAAAATGATTGATGGTTAATATATAATTAATTCATCCAGTTACACTTGTATTAGCCATAGAAACACATGTGAAAAATTACATTTTTTATTATTCGATTACAATTTCGCACAACACTGAAAACTCGACTTAGACTGTACTCAAATGAAAGGGACAGGGAAGAAAACAGTCGAATCACTTTAGATTAAAAAAAAACAAGCGATTCGACTGTCTTCTCCCCTGTACCCATCAAATTAGATCACACAGGTAGGTGTATATTATTATGTACAAGTATATACTTATTGAGTACATACTGTAGTGTGTATACTGTAACAAATATAAGCATGAACTTATAATAATAACTTATAATGATATCATTCGGTGTGCACAGCATGTTGAACATTTACCGACGGTTCAAAATGGCCGCTCGCACCGGAGAGTTCTTCGCCCTTCACCAATGGGATTTCATCAGCGACAACATCCGCGAGCTGGACAACAAGTTCACTTGCACCGACCGACACACGTTCCCGGTGGACATCACGCAAGTGGTGTGGGACAGCTACGTCAAAGACTACGTGTACGGCATACGCAAGTACGTTCTCAAGGATCCGCCGTCGACGATCCCGCTGGGACTAAGCAAATTGCAAAAGTAAATTACTATTACTATTATTATTATCATCATCATCATCATCTCATCATCATGAAATGATCAAACGATGAACACAAAAACAAATAATAATCGTTTCGTTGCCCACAGGTTTTATTGGATGCACCGGATGGCACAGTGCGCTTTCGTCGGTTTCATGATACACGTGATCAAATCAAAATAGTTTGCGCATCGTGTAACAATCGCACGGCTATCAATTAGACAATTAAGACAACATTACGATATATCATTATTATTAGGTATAAATCGACAAAAAACGAATCTTATCGGGTTCACACCTACGATGTTATAATAATAATTATTACTGGTCTTTTTATTTACTTTTTTTTTTTTAACATTTTATACACATTAATGAAATACATGTATTAACATTTGATATAATACAAGCATACAGTTAATGACTATAATAATGATGATGATTATTATTATTTTATAATAGATGTACGTCATAATAATATACACTATTGTTATTATTATATAATATGATTGTAATATTTTTGTTTTAAATATGTTTTGTAAACGAAAAAAAAAAAAACTTGAAAATAAATAATAAATAAAAATTGTACAGTTTATTTAGTTCGAAAATAATATAGTGGTGTTTTCATTTTTTATTCTTCATAATATGTTATTAAAATCTAGTCGTATATAAATAAATTCATCGATACAGAGTAGATAAATAATAATAATAACCGTCAAAAAAAAAAATCCGATTCATATCAGTGAGCAGCAGTATACATAATGTTTACACGAAATCACAGATACTTTCTTAAATAAATACAAATTTAAAAAAAAAAAAACCGTCAAGTACGTTGACACATAAAAACATAATTTTGTTTGTTGTTGTTCAAATTGTTAACTATTGATAGCGGGGAAAAAAAGTAGTAACGTAAAAGAAAATCAATACATTGTCGTATAGCAAAAAAAAAGTCATAATAAAAATATACAATAAAAAAAAAAAAAAACATTAAAAATAAAAATGGAACGGAGTACTTATCATAATATTTTGGCTTAATATAAATAAATATTATTCGCAAACATAAAACGTCGCGCGATCGATCATCGAACAGTGACCAAAACCTAAATCGATTAAAAGTGCTTCTAATGTGTATATATTATATATAAGTAATGACAATTAAGTTCTAACTACTATATTTATTAAATAAATATCTATCTACATAGATAAAGATATATATTATTATATATATATATATATATAATAAATATAATATACACCCAACTGGTGTATGTTATATACAAATATATATAAATACATATACATAAATGTGTGTGGTTTTAGTTTTCATCGAGTAAGTCTTATCAGTTGTGTGGTGTTGTCTTTGAAGATGAAGTTAGGCGATGTTTTGAATTTCTCGTTTGACCAAACGTGTCAGCAACTATAGAAACAAACAAAAACAATCAATCAATCCCAAGTGATAATTAATTATTTGCCAGAGTTCTAACACAGGACTACTTACGAGTATAGCAAAAACGTTCGATCCCATGAGCATGTAAAACACGCTTGTCCATCCGAACATGCTCGATATGTAAGCGGCCAGCAACGGTCCCACAGCCGCACCTATAAGTATAATATATTTGTTGTAAAACAAAATAAATAAATAAAGCTAGCACCACAGCGGGGTCGAAGAGGTCAAGTCTTTAGGAATTAAATTACTAAAACTGAAAAAGAAAAACATCTCTTGAAATAAACGCTTCAAATGCTAAACTGTAGACGAGGTAATAACTATTAAATGTAGGTAAATATTAATAATTGTATTTAAAATGAGATTTGGAAAAAACTGTTCACATTTACCTTCAGTTTATTTTAGTCCTAAAACTATGCCCAAAAAAGTAAAATAAAGAAAATGCTTCTATAAAATCTATATTGTATTAGTTATTAGGTTTTTTTTTTTTTAACCGATATCTAGATTTTTGGGGTTTGGTTTTGATTTTAAAAATCATTTAAGTCTGTAGAATTTACAATACCTATAATCATTTTTTTGACATGAATCTGTCAAATACTTAAGTGGCGCTTAAATAGGGGAGGAGAAATGAAAGAGTGAGATGGGATAGTGATAAGTGAATCAGCTTATAAGAGGTTATTGATAAGAGACAGAAAATAAGTTGACATGTTTCAATCCAAAGCTTTGTTTCCTTCGGTTTAAAGCTATTTTTCAAAAAAAAAGACTCGATCGTACCCTTCAATGTCACAGCACTACTTACCTATCGATCCTGTGCCGTCGATTATCGATGTGACTGTGGACAATGCCTTGGCGTTGCCCTTCAGTGAGCTATGGGTTCCAAGTTCTGCAGACACTGCCGTCGTGATCAAAGCATACGGTCCGTTCACTAGTGCGCCGGCGATCAATAACAGAGCGATGTTTGTGTACAAGTTCAACGATGACAATAAATTGTATGTGTACAACTGTAAATGGGTAAAAACAAAAAATTAATTAAATTATGCACGGTAATGTTGAGTATTCTGGAAGAGTGGGGGGGGGAAGACCTCAAGAAACCCTGTTAACTACTCCATTACGTTTCCAACATGATCCACTCACAAATTTATACGTCAAATAGAGTAAGGACTTAGTCAAAATATCTTCAAACCTTCCTGAGAATATATTTTCAAGTACAGTGATATTTTTTAAAATGGGTTTTTAATAGAGTAAACCCAAAAAAATTGAGTATTGTGAATATTGGTATTTTTTTAAATAATGTTCACACATACCGCTGGTATTGCCATCAATAACATAACGGCACAAGTACAGGCGCTCTTTCCGGACTTGTCGCTGAAAATGCCGGCGGCTATTCCACCGAAAATACCGCCAACGTCAAACAAGGTCGATAGATCGGCGCTCATAGAAGGACTGTAGGTAGCTGCAATGGGTGAAAAACAAACGCACATTATAATATTACTTTGTTCAACAACGATGAGTCGTTTTTGGATTTTTTAAAATTTTTTTTGGAGGGGGTGGGATGGCTCACTTACACGAGGCCTTAATATAATTTGGTAACCAATACAGGAACGTGTAACTGACGAGTTTGGCAAAGAACAGACACATGGAAAATTCAATCACGCCCTAGAAGAAAATAAAACTACGTTAAAATACACAAATAACCAACATTAGCGTTATCGTATCGAACTCACAGGAATCTTAATGGCACCGATGAAACCAACGGCTCTTTTGGACGAACCGTTCAACGGCGAAAGGATGGGACTGCCTTCGGTCCTCTCTTTGATTTCATCCTGAAAAGAAAAACAAAAATTCGGATTAGCACTACAAAAAAAAAAAAAGCAAAAGGTCACACTTAAAAGAAAAAAAACAGTCGCTGTTACATTTTTACCAAAACAATTATGAGCTAACAAAAGTTATAATAGTTTTTTTATTTTAAATCTAGTCGATACACTTTGAACGCTATCTGTCTACCGTGAACTGAACATTTTATGAATATGCTTCTCTGGCAAGAATTGTAAGTTTTTCTTTTGAAAGAAAATCAGAAAATTCTGATTTAGATGTTGTCAAAGTCGTTTACAACTTTAAAGGCGATTAAAAAAAAAAAACAATTGTCTTGCTAGACCTTACACCTTAGGTCCTGACCGGATGAAAACATTAATAACTTTTTTTTTATCTTTCCAGAATGTCAGAATGTGGTGGAATTGTAAACCAACAAAAACACAAACGTCATATTTTCAATACCCATTTCCGAAACAACCAACTGGTATTTGCTCGAACCCCGAGGCCACCACCCCAAAGGGTTACACAGCACCCCTATTCACCCCTATTTCCTCCCCTTCGTTAGACCTCCGACCAATGTCAACAAACGTCACAATACAACCCCTATGGAACTGTACCAATTTTACACAGTTCACGGTGACGGAGCACACGGTTTATTAATCAACGTCCGACGGTTATTTATACTGTACAAATAGTTGATTGAAAATATTATTTGTGTGTGCGCTTAATTTTCGAGAAACGGTAAAAAAAAAAGGAGAGAAAAGAGAGAAGGTCAACGGTTAGACCGTGGAAAAACGTTTTGTGATTCAAACGGGCAATACGGGCGTATACAACATCAATAATAGCTGTTAATTTAACGTGTAATTAGTTGTTACATTGATAATAATATAGTTCTGTTGGAGTGGAAAAAAACAAGTAAACCGTCGGATTACCAAATAGCTATGTATTAACTAGCTGGGGGGTTTATGTTGTTATAATATTTAGCTGAATGTATTCCCTCCCCCCCCCCCGCTGCTCTTGCAAACTTAAGCGTAAAACCTTAAAGAATTTTTAATAAATTCCGAATATTTTTTTTAAAAAAGTAAAACGAATCCAACGAAATTGTACAATCCACAAAACTGTCATTTTGCACAAAAATAAAACATCAAACTAGGAATTGCAATTGTTTTATTGTCTTTAATAATTCTCGACCGAAAGTTATGATTGTTTCAATAAAAACATTAAGTATTCTAAAAATAATACATTATACAAGTCTAATTGTTGTTAGTTTATTTCAATATATTTTTCCCCCAAAAGTTGCGCGTTTGTGATTTGTTCAAATGTTATTTAAAAATTATTCGATTATTTTTTTGTCCAATATATGTACAAGTTTTGTTCTATTTGTTTTTTTCGTTATTTAATTGAGCTTTAAGAGAAAACTACTAGTGATGGAAATCTAAATTCTCGAAAATATATAAATCCTACTATTTTTTTGACTCTTGAAAAATAATTAAACGTCCAACTATAAATAATCAGTATTTGATAGTCATTATATTGTTGGAATTGCATTTTTCCAAGGAATGTATTAATTTTAGTAAATGTTAAGGTGTGTCTCATTTTCGGTGAAACAACACGTTTAAGACAAGACTAGTATTATTTGAAATTAATATGCTTTGTTTCCAAAAACTTAACACTGTAATTTAGGAATTAGAGAAAATTGTATTAAGTTTTTAATGGTTTTTTATTTTATTTTTATTTTAAAGCGATAAAAAACGTTTAATGGTTTTGTTACAACAAAAGTTGTTGTTTTTTTTTATGAATTGAACAATTCACGTATAATTTTAATTACATACCTACTCGTAGCGTTGTGTAACGTTTTATAACTATCAAAATTCTTATCTTAACATTATAGATAAACTAGATGTACAAAAGAAACTGATTTAAGTGTTATATTATAGGCTTACCGGGACTGAAAAACGAAGTCGGCACTCAAATATAATAAATTATACTAAGTAGTACTAAAACACAAACTAAACACGACTAATAATCTTGTAAGCCTAATTTCGATATGATAAAATGATGTGTGCACTCTTATCTTAATTCTTACAATCATTTTTACCGCGTTATATCACTATGAGATATCTTCTAAACGCCTAAAATGTCAATTATAGTTTATTTAAACAAAACGCTAATTTCAAAAAGTCACTAAAATAAGTAATGAGAAACAACAAAAGGATATAAACGTGGTTTTTTTTTTTTAATCCAATTTTTATCTTCAATTATTTTACACAATTTTCTATACATTTTGAAAAGAGAATAAAAAATTAATAAATATAACTTGAAAGAACAGGATAAATTGTAATTTTTTTTTTAATTTTCTCTCGTGTAAAATTGTATAGAAAACACATACTTTTTGGATTCTCACTACTTGAAATTTTAGATTGGCTATATAAATACACGGCGGTACTAACCAAGTACTACTATAACCTAAAACTAAACTAAACTAAATAAATAGAAAAAAAAACAGTAACAGATAAAGAAAACTAAAACTTTAAAGTTCAAACGGCCAAGGGTTTGGATCGACGAAATGGCGTTTAAAATAATACCTATTATTCAGAGTTGGCAAACGCCAAGGATTTTATATTTTATTTATTAACTTAGTAAAGTTTATATTATGTTTATACATATAAAACCAGGCCTTTATTAAAACCTATACATTTTTGGTGGCAATACTAGACATTTCCAGACTGTTTTCTTGCCGACTCTGAAAACGTTTAGTATTGTTCAAACAATAATTCTGTAAGATTTAAACTCTCTCATGCCAAAGCCCTTCACCAAATCAGTCACAAATTCGTTATCGTTCAAGTCATAATATATAATATATAACAGGTGGACACGTTTTCCCAAAAAATACCACAAGACTATTGTAACAATTCATAAATATTACAAGTAATCATAATTAATAATATAAGCGCAATGATGATTTAAGGATGCTGCTTTTTTTTTAAGAGACCTTAGGCACAATGAGACAGACTTAGTAAGAACATACTATTATATACAAATATAATTAATTAGTACGGTTGGTATATATTTGGCGAAAAACGCTCTTGGCCGGCTACAATATACGTACACATATAATATACATTATACATATATATTATATATACACAGACATATATGAAAATATTTATATATAGCGTGGTCCTTATATTTTGACTAATAACTCTTAATTCAATTAAAGTACTGTTCAGAAATTATTCAAAAAAATAACATTGAAAGCCCGGACGAAAAATCCTACGGAAAATACAATTTTAGGGTGAATTTGCTACCATTTTTACTTTGAGTTAAAACAATAGGATTTAATAAAAGAAATAGATTTGGTTTTTTTTTAATTTTGGGATTACCTTAATATGTTATGGTTAAAACTTGATAACGATGAAATATTTTTTATTAATAGGTTCAGTTTTTTTGTTATTTAGTTGTGGTAACTTTCGCAGGCTTTGGGGCACGTGTTCTCGCCGTCCGATTAAAGTTAAAGCTGATAATATTCACACTTTTAGGGATAATAATAAAAAACAGGGACTTTAGGTGCAAAAAATCAATAAAATTGGGATAAGGACCACCCTATTATACATAATATATACATATATTATAATATATTTATATTTACACAAATTTAATAATAATAAATGTACAAAAAGCAACGAAAAATCTTTACCTTGTGAGAAGGTAACAACGACAACTCCTTAGGTGAAATGTCTCCAAGAGATAGAGACACCTCTTGTGGCGGGAGAGTGCTGGGTATTTTCTAATGAAAACAAGCATAACAAAAAGCCATCAGAACGTTGTAAAAAAAAAAAAAAATAATTATATGTATCATTATTACTACAATATATTATTATACATAGACACTATAAAATATGTATATATTAATCATGCTGTTCCATAGTGTTTTTGCTTAGTGAGTTATAATAATACCATAATAATATTATACAACGTGGAAAACGTTGCAGTGTTGTGAAAAGGAAATTCGTCAATATGAGAAACGGAACGGAGGAGTGCCTTTGGACGTTTTTTATACTTGAACTCATTTGATTGACAGCTTTTTAAAAGATTAGGGTGGGGACGGTAGGGTGGGCCAGATGTTAAGAAAAGAGATAAGAGGTGTGGCGGACAACAGCAGCTGCTTATAATAAGAGAGCCTTATAAAAAAATACCTCTTGGCAATAGGTTTGTAATCCAAGATAAAGGCGACAGGTAGGAAAACAAGGTACACAATACGGACATTGTCGAAAATAATATCAAGCTGAACTATGGCGAACGGGTCAAAGCCTCGGGAAAAGATAGAATTTCAAGTGTACGGTTGAGCGAATTTTGAAAAAAAAAAAAAAAAATTTAGGCGATGAATACACACAAGGAGAGAATGGTGGTGTGTTAAAAAAAAATTATTGCGTTTCTCGTTGTTTAAGCTATTAGTGGTACAATGGAACGAACGTGTAATTACATATTATATTGTTTTAAACAAGTTTTCATACAGATCCCGTTACATAACCAAAATATAATAACAGTTCAGGGTTACATTGACATGCAGATACAGAAGTGGTAGTACTTTTGCGGATCGAGTATAGGCAGTAGGTATACTCTGTGTGAAATAAAAGTTATTATGATTTTAACTGCACAACCATTCCACCGTGTAATAATATAATAATAAACAGGCACATTGACAAAATGGAGTAGCGAAGCATCGCATTCGTTTCAAAAGACAAAGGAAAAATCAAAGAACATGACCAGTTTTAGCGAAATTCGGAGCTCAATCGGTGGATAGCCAATCGTATGCCTCTGAAATCAAACACATACTTTACACTTTATTATTGTCATTTTTTTTTTATTTTTTAGTACATCATGGAAAAAATTGTAAACGATTAATAATTTTCATTACTCTTGCAGTACTTGTACTCGCCTTTAAATGTCAAATAAAATTTAAAAAAATATATATTAAACATATGCTTTTCTTTTAGTATTTTTGAAACGTTGAAAAAAAATTGTTATACATATATAAAATTAATATATTCCTAAAAAAAAAAACAGTTTCTGGCGTGAACTAAGATTTGTGGATAAGAAAGTATTGTTGTTAGGTTAAACGGATTACATAAATAACACAAACCGTATGCCGTCGATACACATTCTTAACGGCTATGGGGAAAAAACCCGTAGACCAGCTTAAAGTAAAGATTAAAAAAAAAATTGAAGAAATATCATTTTTCCGACACCATTACTGCATACTCACCGTCAAAACAATTAATAAGAATTTATATAAATACAATATTATATACTATTTATATTATACAGTGAATACACTTTAAGCTATTAACTGCCACTACATAAAAAGCTTCAAGCACAAATGACAACACCGCTGACATTGATTACAATACCTTGCTATTTCTTGGGAAAATGTGTGTGCTGATATCGACGCCACGAACATTATACATATTTTTCGACAACAAACAATTCAGCTAACTATAAGCTAATAGTTAAAATAATAATAATGATGATAATAATAATAATAATCATAATAATAATCATAGTACCAGTAATAATATTACTAAAGAAAATAAAGACAAGAAGCTAAAATAAAATATATATATCATGACAATTTATAGCCACAACCCTTAAAATCTATAGTAACTAATAAATAAAAATTGTAAATGCCTCATTCTAGGTCTACATTCAGTATAATTTTTCGACCTTAAGTACTAAAACTACACTTCAAAAATATAAAATAAATAAAAAACAAGTTTCGATTTTTTCTTGGAAAAAACGGGCTTTTGATATTTTTTTGGTTCGTCAACATAATATTTTATTAAATTATTTGTAATGAATATTTCATATTACCTGAAACGTGTAAAAGTTATGGGTTCCTTTAAATAATTATGAAGGGTACAGGTTGAAGTTTTTCAATGTTTGGCTTGTTAGTCATTTCATTACACTATACTCGGTTCGCAATAAGAAATTATAGATATATACATTCAGTTTAATTTTACTGAAACTACGCCTAAACAAATTAAGAAAAAGTTTCCACCCCTTTCTGAGGGAAAAACCAAACCATATTTTCTTGGTAATTCACTGTTGTACATACTATGTAATTCACTGTTATACATAAATAATATGGCACACAAGTTTGAAACTAATTAGACTATTTTTCATTAAAAAAAAAATAACTGGAAAAATGTTGCGTTTTTCTCGAATTTAATGAGAAGGATATAAATTTTTCTCATTTTTAGATTGAACATGTACCTTTTGGGTACAATTGTGGGGGGGGGGGAAGACAATAGTATGAGATCAATCTGAATCATTTTTAAACTCGGTCCTGAAAATATATAAAAATGTGTACTAAACGACATACAAAAAAAGCAACTGGCGTGGCAAAACGTAATGATGATAAGAACAATAAAAAAACGAGTTCGACCTTAATTTTATAGTTTATCTCATTAAAATCCCACCGATAATAATGAATATGTAAAATAAATAATTAATAAAACAAATCGTATGTAGCAAGCTTCAAGAGTAATAACCTTCGAATTCCTTACTATCATTATTAGCCAAGTATACTATTGTATAACTGTACATTGGAAAAATAAATAAAAGCTTTACGGTAAATATACGACGTTTTAAGGTTTGCGTTAAGCTGTTTACGGATTCGTTATTTTTGTACTACTTTTGTATAGCACCAAACATAACCTAGACTGTCTTGTTATACCTACAATTGAATCTTTCAGAAGTGTTTAGTAATTATCTTTTTAGATTTTATAATAAAAAACATGAAAGTAACGGTACTTGATTTGTTTCTAAAATAAGAATTTAACATCAATACTGATATTAAACACTTCATTCCATCACAAACCGTTAAAAAAATATAATTGAATAGGTGTAAACTATTTTTGTGTACTTATTAAACATTATAGGCAACAGATATGCCTTAAGTTGATAATGTTTATAAGTTAAGAACCCTAAACGAAAAACTATGAAAATGATTAATATAATAAATACAAGTTTTGCGTTAAACCAATATCAATAAAAGTATAATATATTATATTAAATATCAAAACTGTCTTTTTTTTTAAATTACTAAAATCCATCATGCAATTACATCAAAGTCAAAAGTGATAATAAACCGACCAAAAGTGGGTTTTTTATATTATATAAATTTATTGTTGATTTTTTAAACCGAAAAATAACAAAAAGAAAACCCAGTTAATGTGTTCGTAAGCGTCAAACCCAAATAAAAAGCGGACACCAACATACCTCTTCGGAGCTGCCCTTCAATGTTTCGTTCTCTTCCGCTATTGTACCGTCACGACGAGCTTGTCTTCTTATGCCGTTTCTCTCTATGTTCTAATTGATCGATAGAAGGACAAAAACAAAGCCCGAATAAGCAATATGTTTAACAAAAAAAAAAAAAAAATTGTTAAATAAGAGAATGAGACGTTAAGTTGCAGAGGAGTACACATACAATATAGACATAGTTGACAATATCCTGTTTATAAAAAATTACTATTTGTTATATCATAATGTTAATCATAGTAAAATAATCATGATAGGAAGCGAATATAACCACTGAGGCAGTAAAACTAACAAGTCGAGTTTTGTTATAAGCTTATGAAAATCTGAAAATGATTAGGTATTATTGGATTTTGATACAGTGTAATGATGTTGTCAGCTAATGCAAAAACAATTCTTATCAATCTGCTCATAAAAAAATGTAGTTATTTTTACACATTTTATTTAGAGTATATTATCATTTAATCTTCTAATTGTTTAGGGAATTTTATTTGAACGAAATTAAATAACAAACCGAAAATTATTTAAATACATTTTAAATTAGAACTGTAATTAATTTTTTACTTAATAATAATTTGAGTAAAATAAAAAAAAATTAATTGTTATTAGAAACAACAGATTAATTGAAACTTTAAATAAAAAATTATTTTAAATAATACAAAAAAGTATTTCACGTAAAAAAAAGTGATTTTATGCGTAAAATAAAAATACATTTCTTACACAAAATTATTTTCAAATAAATACTCAATTATGATTCAAATAAAAAATCACCCCGGGTTGCTATAATGACTATCAGTGACAACAACACCATCACTTGTAATTTTCCATAACGCACAAACCCCGAATATTTAGATTTAAAACAAAAAAACAGATACAAACAGCATTATGAAATACAAATAACACACATTTTAGGATTTTTGAAAGTTAAATATTAAAAGTTCAATTTCAAATAGACTATAAAGATTAGGTCCTAATGCAATGGTTTTTTTTTATGTATCTAGGAAAAAATAATAGGAGCAAACAATACAGTTTGTAAACGTTAATGACATGAGTATTTATGTTTGGCATGGGATCTTACCTTGCGGCCGTTTTGAGTTATTTCTTTCAAATGTGTACAGTTGACATCGGATGGATGAGCTACGAGAAACAAATAATTCAAGAGTCCGCAGAAAATAATGAAGACACCCGGAACGATAAACGACAGTCCCCAATTGGATTCGACGTACAAGCTGGCTAGTAATGTGCCAACAATGTTTCCAATCGACGTGTGTGAATTCCAAATTCCAAAGATGAATCCTGAAATGTATAAGACGGCGGCGCTTAATATCAAAATAATATTATATTCAATTGACTCGGGTAAATAAATTTTACCTCGATTCCCTTTGCCAAACCAATTGCCCATGGCTGTAACAACTCCAGGCCATCCAGTAGTTTGAAAGATACCGCCAAATATCTAAAACAATCACAATTGGGTTTTTATTCATTTAATTGTTCAAACAACTCGATAAATTTTTTAATGAAATTATGGAGTAATTATTTTCTTTCAAGTATTTGAAGATAAAATACTGACTGTTGAAAAATTACAATTTTACAAGTGTCTAGTTGCGCTACCGTTTATAAGAAGTGATTGTTAAAAATATTCTTTTAGCATTCCACTATACCTGTACGGCGATAAAGTACCACATACTATGAATATCATAGTAGTGGGCCAATCCAAACATCGAGCAAGCAATACCAGATAGTATCATTCCGATGGTTAAGAATATTCGTATGTTCACCCGTTCTCCAATAAAACCACTGAAAACAATAATTCAACTTGAGTAAAATTCATAGTTACATTGAAAAATTGTGAGATTCAAAAATGGGTTTAAAAGTTTATACTCGTTCATTTAGGATTTCTTGGCTGTGTACAATTAGTTTGATAATTATTACGTTCAGAAATACAAACGTTTTTTCATAAGCTAACGATAGAAATGTATGACACACTTTGTTATGTAAATGGTAAATCGCATAACACAATTTTTTTTTTTTTATCGTGTTCTGGTATAATGTAACGATTGCAAAAATGTATGTACCACATTAATAAAAAGGTTATTGAGAGAGAAAAAAATGCGAGCGATAAGTAATTAGCTCACCTTAAAATTTATTAAGTGACATACCTAACAAAAAAACCATATCGCCATATAAATTTCAAATACAAAGTGTTTTTAGATCAATCGAGTGAAATTATTCAGAATTAGAAACAATTTTAATTGTGTTAATCGTTTACCTGAAAAACATTGCAATTGCATATGCAAAAAGAAATGCTGAATCCAACGTTCCAAATAGAGCAGTGTGATTTTTTTCATCTGTAAAAAAAATAGTTTAGTATAAAATCTTATAATGGTTAAACAAGTTGAAAAATTCATTAGTTTAACTAAATATCGTTTTTTTTTTTAGGGCAAGGCATATCAGCAAGCAAGGGCTAAAGTTTTGTTTTTTGTTCAACAAATAAAACGTGATACTTTTACGTCAATTTACTAGATAATAATACAGATGACACTTACTGAATGGTAACCAATTACACCAGTCGGGGTCACTTGTATTCGTACCGTTGGGCGGGGTAACTTCTGAACAGTTTTGATACAAAACAATTTTAACAACGCTAATTGGTTTCCGAGACGCGTGGTAGGCCACGTAGGTGATGAACGTCAGCACCAGAACACTGTACTTATATCTGAAATCAAATAGGAAAAATACATAAAACTAATCTATAGGTTTTGCGTCGCCAAGCGAACCTGATGGCCTCGAAAGTATATATCAAGCAGAATTACATTGGTGACACACTTTTAAAATTCAGATTTCAGCCAAAAATGTATGTTTAGTAAAACGCTGCAGTACACTTTTTTTTTATTAATACAATATGGATAAAAAATGAGTATGTTTCATGAAAAATTCTATTTGTTTTTTTTTTTTTTATTTAGCGTTTGTACATTCCTTACAGACAAGCTCAGACCTGTCTCCGGCCTGGGGTTAATGGATTTGAAAAGGTTCAGTCTACAACAGCTTCGAACGCTGACAAAACCGATTAGTTACAGGCAGACTTGTGTCAATTAATGTTTGTTTTATAAATGCATAGTGTAATAAATTATGTTTTACGTACACTAAATAATTTAATAACGGATTAAAAGCTTTCGTAATTGTCAAAAGTATAATTAATTTCGATTACTGCGTAATTTTAGAATACACGTTAATCTGTAAAATATTATTATTGTCTACATTAAGGTCATTTCACTAAGCTAAATAAATATGACTTGGGTATTAACACTATTACATCTTTTTATCACTTACGTCCTTAAGTAATAAATAGGACAATATAAGTGTTTTTATAACCTACATTTTTTTATATCACGTTGCTACTTTTAATTTAACAAAAATGTCGGATCCATATATTTAATAAATCTTTTCTGCATTATTGAAAAGTTCCTTTTTCAAAAAGAGTATTAGTTTCAAAATAATATTTTATTACTACTAATCAAACACAACGCACACCTTCTTGACAATTTTTATTACTTTATTAAAAAGTGTTACGCTTCTACAAATAAGACATACTTTTATTAAGAACTCGTACAATAATTTTTAGTCAATTTTTTTTTTTTTTAACTCATCTGTTATCTGTCACTTGGTAATGCATTTAAAAAAATAAATATAAATTGATAATTAAGATTTTATTTCATGCAATCACAAAGAACTTCCTACAATTATTAGAACGGCACTTAAAACGCTTTGTAGTTTATCTTTTAGCACAAGTAATCAATTAGGAACATTTAATTGATATAAATTACTAAATTGACAAAATATAAAATACCCAAATAAGGCTATGCTAAATATACAAATTCATTTTACATTGACTGAACGACAAGCAATTAAATCTACTATTGTACAATCAAGTGCTAGTTAAAAGCGCGAGTTCACTAATTTGATAAAAAAATAAATAGAAGAAAACAGACTTAAATTTAACAGTTCAGAGTAATAAAGTTATACGTCGAAATTATAACGCTTTGCAAGAAAATCAAATTATTTCAAATGCAGCGTAAAATCTTTGATAATTAAATAAACATCATTTTAGATCATATTTTAGCATTTCTGCCAAATGAAGGTTTTTTTCTTAAAAAATAAATAAAGTGTCTCCTCTCAAGGTTTTAATTATTGAAATATCTTATAGTTTGATATTTATTAATTCTGTTTTTTTTTTCTAGTTTCAGGAAAACCAAATTATGTTTAATCATTGTTGTCAATTTGATTCAAGGTAAAAAAACGTCACACTAAAAAATTATTATCTAAAAGTCTGTTTATTAAATTTAATACAATAAAGTGATCAGACAACTGAACTGCCTCGACAGCTCTTCATAATGGATACTTAAGTTTTTCCAATAAACTATGGTGATTTAAATTAAATTTTGCGTTAATGCCAAAAAGCTTTTGAATTGTCCATATTGGTTAAACTTTATGATTACTAATGTTTAGTTTTATTTAATTATTGCTTTTTAAGCATTATAAGTTATTGAGACACTTTTATTTCTTAATAATTTTTATACATATTTTTTATAAAAATACTCTAAAAGGAAAATGTTGGTAAAATATACCATTATGAAAATTTGCTTTATTTAAGCCTACTGCCTATATTTAATATTAAAATCTATATACATTAATTACAACAAATACAATAAAGGAAATCAATTAAACAGAGTTTAATTAACAGCTGATAAATTATTATTATACTAAATATACATTAATGTTATTAATTTTTTCACCGACAATTTTCAAGAACTTTTACTAGAATAATTACCTTGTTAATAAATAACCTTGTTAATTAATCAGACAAATAAAAATCTACAACTGCACATAATTATTTTTTTTATAAACAGCATTACTTTTATGCGTAAACGTTTAATGTACACTGTACCATAATATTTAAACTTACAGAATAGCATTAAACTTTTAACAATAAACACCTAATTGTAAAACAAGTAAATTTAATATTCAAAACCGCCAAACATAAAAATGGTCTTGTAAGGTATACCTTTGCTAACAAATCGCTTGTATTTTATTTCTACCTTCAAAATGATACAAAAACTAGAAAACGTGGAAACTGAAATTGTCTACAAAAAAAAATAGTTATATGATACTATACATATTTACCATAAATTTAAACAACTATAACCATGTACTTATTTGAATAATGTAAGTAATATAAGCCTAAATCTATCGATAGACGTGTAATTAGAAGTGGACCCTAAGTCAAACGTTTCAATACCTTTCTAATAAGCAAACAAATTCAAGAATATATTTTAGTTCTCGCAATCGACACTCAAATGAAATGTGTAAGTTTTTATTTGGGAAAAAACATAATCAAACAATCCAATTTAATTTTACTATTACTTACAGGTTATTGCGGTCGGCCACCTGGTTCATGGACGCATATTTGCCGGACAACTTTTGCAATATCTGTACGCCAAACGGAGCGGCAGAACTGACTGGATCGGACGTGGAAGCCATTTTCGGTTGGTGTCGTCAAAAGCGAGCGTGCAGTTATCGAGAGCGATCGCTCGCCTGTAGAATAGTTACAATAGTGCGGCGGTTAATCCGTGTTCGACGTCGATCTGGCGGCGATCAGCTTCCGTACGTTCCTTTGATGGGTGGCATTTTTTTAAAATTTTATTTCGGTTGTCTTGTAATTTATTTCTTAATAATGTTGTGTCCTTTTGAAGACAACGGCGTTATTATTATAATAAATTAGTAGCAGATATTATAAATTATTCCGACGTGTAAGACAAACAAAAAAAAAAGAAGCAATTAACGACAATTAATTTTTTAATCGAATTAATCCGCTCGGGACACTCATCGTAAACGGTCGGCCGATTAGCCGTTAAGTATGATGACGATAATAATAATTTGTAATTGGGTAGTTTAATAGTAATATGATGTGTGTGCGTCAATTATATTATTATTATTATTTTTAATGTACTACGCGGACGGTAGTGATGATTGAACGAATAAGGAAATTAGTAACAGTAATAAAAAACGAAACGAAACGATTAAAAGTAATAGATATTATTAAGTAAACGAGTAGAAAAAACTAGAGGGCGGGAAAATAAAAAGAAAAGGTAATAGCCAAAACGTAAAATTAAAAAAAAAAAAAATGTAAAAAAAAAAAAGAAAAGAAAGAAACGTTCTCAAACGAAAACTGACCGTGTCGTCATGTGGAAAACACGGCTTTTCGCGTTATCACTGCGGCGGCGGTATCAGTCCGGCGACGACGGTTGAACGTGACTGGGCCTTTGAAACGAATGTAATACGTCCAAAACGTTGTAATAACGTGCGGCGGCGGAGGTGGTGGAGGTAAACGCGTTTGCCGTCGTACCGGTCGTGGTTGGTAACCGCGGACGCCAGCGACGGACGACGTAGGCAGCGGGTATGTAATGCAGCCGTGCGGTCTGTCCGTGGCGGTGGTAGCGGTGGTAGTGGTGGTAGTGGTGGAAACGGTTACCGGCGGTGGTGGCGGTATACGACGGGCGATGGGCGCGAAACGTAAACTGCGAAACAACAACGGCGTCCGCCGACTGAGAACCGTCCGCCGCCGTCCGAAAAGACATCGGCGGCTGCGGCGGCGGCGGCGTTGGCCGACGGCGTCGCGTTGCTTCTTTTTAGATTGTTTTTTTTTTTTTGTTTCATACGCGCTATCTTATCCCCCACCACAACCCATGCGCGTATCCCCCCCACCCCTGGCCGCCGTTGTGTTTTTTTATACTATTAATCTGTATAATATTATACATAATATCATTGTATAACATAATTACTGTTGTATTGGTTATGATGATCTAATATCACACCCACCTGATGAGAGTGTTACGCTCGTATTTAGCTGCTAGGGGCACATTTTTTTTTTTTTTTTTTTTTGCGACATCATATTATTTATTGTATACCTACCTACACGTTGATAATGGTGTTATAATGCCACGCCGCATTTGCTGGCTCAGTCTCATTATAATTGGCAACCATAGACTAATATTCTATCATGTCTATGTTGGCAACATGGCAAAATTACATTACTTAGACAATATTATATTTTATCATTTGTGCCATTCAGGTTGAAGTTAAAACGTTTAGATGGCACCGCGAGAGCTTTTTCTCTAAAATATTGTTACACAAACTACCACAAATGTAACTCTTTTATTTAAAAATTAGTTAAAAATAAAATAATGTTTTTTAATTTATGAATTATCGTCCAAACGAGGCGCATAGCAGCAGATAAACTAAGATCAGTGTGAAAATATGTCTAATACGGCGATAATGGTATAAAGTAATATCACAATTAACAAATTGTCGGTCTGTGAAAAATATCACTAAGTCGATTTTTGTCTTTGAAAATAAAGCCCCAAAATTTCAGTGAAAATCTTTAATATAAATTCAATTCGTCCGAACAAGGTTTCTTATTGTTTTATCTCGAACTTCCATACTTAAAGTATTCAGAGTGTTATTTACTCCAACTATTTTATTACTAAGCACAAAAGTGCATTAAGCAAAATATACATTTTCCCGAATAAGTTTTCCAAAAAGTTGCTTTTTATTAGATTTTTGCCGCCTCTTCCCATATTTTCTACTTTATTACTCGACACAGGCAATAACAGCTATCAACGCATCACACCATTTATCTTATTATTTATGTTTGCATTTATTATTGTATATTTTGTTTGTTTTATGATTTTTAAACGGAACGAATTTCTCCACAAAATGATCATTCTGTGAAAACATTTTTTTTTTTTATTAAGTACACATTTATTTTTTGTTGACATTTTTATTACCGAATTCGAGAACAATAGCGGTTTTTACTAGTATCGAACAAATTATATACTCAGCTTGCAGGCACAATAACCAAATATTATTTTTACCATCAGAGAAAAAGTCACACTCCCCAAAAGCGTCAAACTTTCCTTTCATATTGTGATATATAAGTTTTTTTTTGTGTTGAGTTTAAAACCAGTTAGTGCAAATATAGGTAATGCATTTTTACAACAAAAAAAAATAAACAGAAAGAGAGAAGAATGAAAATTATATTTTCAAGGTATTCTCATGGGTATGTATCTTTTTAAATAATCGAAGGAAAGTTTTTAAAACCAACTCAGATAGAAAAATGCGTCCCGTTAACAAATAATATATGATCACAAACTTGTATTTTTTTTTTTAATGTCACCTTTTTGGTACTTACTCAACATTACATACCTACATGTACTGTACTTTAAATTCTTTAAACGACTCAAACTGGAAATTTCGGATTCTGATCTGCGCAAAAACGCATAAACCAGTTTTTTACAATATAAAACCGAGTATTGTATTTATATTTGGCCTAACCGCCAAGTAAAATTTTTACACTGCAATGTACTTACAAACCTTGTAACAAGTACTATATTTCTGACAATACCTATAAGAACTTAATACCTACTCAACAAAGGGGTAAAACCTTACTTAAACTCTTTTGAAAATAAATGTATCAAATTCAACAAATAGTACGTTTATAAAGTAGGTATTTACCAAACTGAAAAAAAAACCCTATAGTACTTTTTTAACTCCAAATAATACTTGCTGTATGCCATATCTACGTTTTAATGAAAAAAGTGACTTGTCGCAAGTTACAACCGACTAGTTTTTGCCCGGAAATAAGTAAGTAGTGGAAGTTAAACAAGTGTGTACTTACACTGTAGTCACCGACCAGCCTTGGCCATAACACAGAGAATAAAATGTGCTCTTATTTGTGCTGTATTTAACGTCAATTAGTGTTTTGCCCAAGTCGACGTCCGTCGGATAAGTATTGGCCAACATAACATATGTCTACAAAGTTATTACAGGGGCTTAAAATATATATTTTATGTACGGCCGTTACTGTTTGGACTACTTAAACGTCTGCTGGAATTTATTTGTTTCCTTGCCGCGTGACGTGGTGAGTAAACGGAAAAAAAACTACGCATGCCAATTATTTTTCATCCCCCAAAGTCAGTTGATTTTTTAGATACAATGTCAATAAAAAAAAGATTGTACCGTTGATTTCCCATTAGACTTGGACCGAGGTAATCTTGTCGGACGACAAAGATGAAACAAAACGAATACCAAGAACAGCGTACACATCTAGTTTATGTACTATAATATATTATGGGTAGGCAAATGTAAGATGGCTGATAGATACAGATGAAAGACACGACAAAAATACAACCGTCCCGGGGACACATACCGTTTGATTTTATCCCTGGGGTTGTGTAGTTTACTTTGAACACAGCCGGTATTCGAATAAATCAAATAAACAACCGATTCGAAATAAGATTCTATCGCCGTTAGCCCGAAGGTCTTCTAGTTTGACGCACGAGGACCCTTCGCAGAAACAATTTGCATTTCTGTCACTACTAACCTAACCAAACGATATGCTATATATGTCTACTGCAGATGTTAGATGATAATTTATTGTAATTGAGTGAGAATTCCGTTTAAGTTCATCGCGTTCGAAATAATTGAGACATTACCATCGGACAACATAAACAAGAAAAACGGAAATGAGTAAGTTCAAAAAAGTAAAATAACACATGATATGTTTTGATTTTAATAGAAATAAATCACCTACAAACCGATCTTACATTTTCAGCTTTCGGTTATGGTGTGTTTTTTTGTAAACCAGCTTTTTGTTTTAGTTTTTTTTTTATATTATATTTTAAAAATATTAAATTTTCTGTTGTCTAACTTTCAATTGTATATGATATAAAAATGTGGTACAACAAAACAGCTTAAAAATTATAGACTAAATGCTATAAATGTACCTATTTTCTAATTGTAATCTATTTATATTTTTATATCTATCTATTTTTACTCATTTTTATCTATTATTGATTTAATAGATTACACTGTGATGTAGGTATTAAAATATTTAATATTCATATAATATGTATACATAAATATATATTAACAGGGTGATTTATTTAGAATAAGATACTAAAGTTTTTTACAACAATTGCGGTTATGTAGTTTTTCTTTTTGAGTACATTTTTTTTTTTACAGTAATACAAAATTACTAAATAGCTATTTCTTTTAGTATTTTCCAGAGGTCTATTAATTTTTGAAACTTAAACGAATAGTTGTATATTTAATTAACTTTTTAAAATTCATAACCATTTGTTGAAAACGTTGATAACCAGTTTGGAATAACTATTTTGGAAAAGATCCAAGTTTAAAATATAGTCGACATTTTCAAAATTAATTTTTAAATTTAATTAAAAATATTATTTTTTGTGACCATTTAAGTTTTAAAAATCGATAAGCCTGGGAAAAAATAGAATAGATACAAAAAATGTTGAATATTGTCTAATATTGTAAAGTGACTAAAAAAGTTTCTAAAAAAAAAACAACAAAACCGCAATTGTCTTAGAGAAAATGAGTGTCTTAATGAATCACCATGCCTGTATAGTCTGTTCTTTTATTTAAAAATATAAAAATCAATATTATACCTACACATTTATACAGCGTTATAGTTCTTCGAATCGTGTATTCTGAAAACTAGAAGTTCTTTTTTAATAATTAATTAATTGATTTTCTATTCATAAAATACATACAATATTATTGCCATCGACCAACCGATACGGCCACTCGCGAATGCCCTTGAACCTTAATTATGTGCCGTTCGGACCGTTTTGTCAATTATTGTTAAATAATATCAGCTCAAGTCGGTTTCAACCATTCACACGCATACTATTTTCTTTCACAATAAAAAGCGCCATGTTGAAGATGATTTAAGAGATCGCAATTTTCTGGAGAGACACTCTTGTTCCTTATTAGTGCTTACGTAGGTCTAAGATTAGCTTGACCGTCGTTATCCTTGAAAAGATTAAAAAAATAATTATAATGAAACTTAAAAATATTTTTAAAAAAAAACTTTTTTTAGCTAGTGTGTAAATCCAGACATTAAAATAGATAGTTGATCAATATTAATTGTGTTCAATTTTACCTTTTTACATATAACTAACTGAAAACATAAGTAAACAACGACTTGTTGATCGAGACAAATTTGTCAAGCATTGAGTTATATTACTTACAGGGAAGTCCATTGTGAACACAACCGTTTTTAAGTGGCTTGAAAATATTTTTAAATCAATTTTGGGCCAGTAAACGATGGCGGGGGGGTGATAAAACAAAATTGAACATAGTCAGAAATTTTTTCGAATGATTCAATAAAATATAACATTAATATGTTTAGTTTGGTAAAAAAAACTATAACCCAGACTAAGCTGAGTCAAATGTCATTCTATTAATAATAATTTTTCCGGCACAATTTAATTGTATCGGTTTTTTAGATGGCAATACAATCAACGAGTAGGCCAGTCGTTTTAATTGTAAAAAAATTAGTCGAAGGTCTTTTTATTTACAGTCCGCTTGAAGTCTAGTCAAATTATTGCACAATCTTACGTTGAGTATAATTATCTAATATGTATATATTTTTTATTTTTTAATATGCTTTTCGATTCAAGGTCGACGACGCCGGCCAAATGATTCAATTAATATAACTAATCGTTATCGTCGCGTGTAATACATTTAAATCATCTATAATTATTACTATGATAATTATTTATCGGTTATACCTACGCTCTTTAATAATGCGATAGGTGCTCATAAAATTATTCTAATAGTCAATAAACAGGCCGCAATGGATAATGGGTAATGAGTATTATATTAGGTGTTAACGAAAAGACATAAGCAAATAAATAATTTTGGCTATAAATAAGTTATTACTACAAAAATATGATAGCAGTAAAATTAAACGTTTTTCAATTTGAGCGAGTTTGATGACCTTTACCTTAATACTGCATATTATCATAGATTATTATCTCATTTTCCATCTTGTTAATTATTATTGTTTATTCAGAGTTATAAATTAACCATTTTCCCGCCGAATCGCCTGTTAATATGATGAACATCCGAGAAACATGTTTTATTTTTATTAGACCCGATTAATCAAGAGAAGGTACCTTTCAAGAAGTATTATCACTAAAGTGCATTCATACTTGGAATAGAACCACATTAGGGCCAACACTTTGGTTCACTTTCCAATTGGTATTTTCAAAAGTCAAAACTTTTGGACCCCTGGGCCTAAGCCTAACCAAAAATCAGTAAACTCTTGGTAAAACATGTACAGCAGTAATAATCTGTTGGCCCCGAGATATTATATTTTAATATTTTCCATTAGGACCGTTTGATATTGTTCATTTGAACGAATAACCTTAACCTCGAATGCTCCTCCACAAAAATGTATTAGAGTGCGATAGTAACACACACGGTGGGCAATAATAATTGTATTGTTAACAACAATGATGTCCATAGGTTGGCGCGTGCAATATACCTAAAACTATTATTTAATATCACATAATAATCTAAATACGACTTGCCCTGCACCGGGTCAAACTACTGTAATATTTACCGCATTTTGAAATGATAAAAAAAATTTAAAAACTATTGCAACAATACCAACTACTGTAGTTCCTATTCTATTATGGTTGTGCCAATAGCCAGTCACTCTTCGCAGCATTATCGTTAGAGTGCTTGAATGAGTTTTTATAATATTATATATTATTATCCAATCAGGTGAAAAAATCGAGTTTATAGCGTTATCATATTATTTTAATTTACAAAAAAAATATAAATGCAATTAAAGGTCGATGATTTGTCATTTGAGTGTCGCTGATATAACAGCCAGCAGATAAAGCCTGTTAAGATAGCTACTACTACTTGCGCGGCTCTTAAGATTATTAATTTGAAGTAAAAAAAAAAAATCATTTTCAAATAATTTCATTGCGTAAAATCCACCAATACACAGTGATTGAAACGTAGGTATTTTTGTAGTTGGCCAATAATTATTAGCTAAATACTTGACCAGAAGTATTTTCACAGGATTTAAATCAGACCATCCTAAACAGTGAAAATTATTTATGTGTAAATTCTAATGCACCGAACAAAGAGAGGAAATCACAGTTTCCAATCCCATTCCAAACGTTTCTAGAACAATGACGGGAAATAACCGTTTTCAAGTCCATTAAAAGTCAAACACAATAACAACGATTAGGTAGGTACTGTCAATTATTAGTAGTTAATTTTTCAGTTTAATTTTCAAGTATTTTTAAAAAATTTTTAGTACGAGACAAACCCAAAAAATATGTTACCAGTTAAGTACAAGTAGGTACAAAACAAACTAAGCGGTGCTTACTTAATTTTAATACAAATAAAAAATAATTGGTTAAAATACAGTTTTTTCAACAGTTTTGAAGGGCTTTTTAAAATTGATATTTTTCACTGAAATATTTCGATTTAGCATTGGTTTACATTCAAGTACTTAAGCTTTTCCCAACCATGCCTAACATGTCTAAACAGTAAAGGCTATTCGGAAAGTGTGTGCAAGTCGAAATAGAGTAGTTTTAAATTCGGATTAAGCTGAACTAAACTTAATTTGAAAATTGGTCCTAAATTGGTCGTTAACACTATTATTGTGTATTTTATTCGACCATAAACGATTGTCGATAGTAAAATTATTATTGTTTGTTTCATTATATTTAATTGGCCAGGTTAGGTTAGGTCTACGTTTATCACCACTTACAGCCAGTTTGTCAACCGACTTGTGCGCTAATAATTAATAATCAATCACCGATATACAGATAGGGACCACACAAGTAGGTACATCACTGTATCAGAGTATAACAATACTATAGCTGTTATGTGTTAACTGTACTATAATAGTAATAATAATAATTTGGTCTGCTATCTAAGCACAGCGTCCGTTAAAATTTGCATTGGACACGAGATGAATTGGCTGTGGTACCCAAAATAATAATATTATTCTATGCTAATGGCTTTAATCGGAAACGGAGCTTCCTAGAAACGAAAACTTTTACTGCTGCTCATAATATTATAAGCGACTCAGCCGAATTTTGAATTTATTCCCATTAATTGACTCGGTTGTTTTATGGTATAGTGTAATAACATTTGCAATCAAAACTTTGGCCATAACCGTTCCAGATAGGTTTTCAAAGTTTTTCCCATAGAGATTCGCGTTTTCCAAAAGGTCATGTCCTCCCTTTGGATATATACATCGGTTATTAGTTCCTAGTAAAACCGAAAAATACAATGAAAACGAAACTTGTATTATAATAATAATATGTAGAAAAAGCCTTTGGCCATTATTCGCACAACGTTCTTATACACTAAATAAAACATTTCCCGAATACATTAATTTAACTCGGATGATATATTGTTCACCAATTGCTAATTTTATTGTTCAGCAGAATTTCTAATTTCAGTATATATTTTTTTTTCAAACCAGACAAGACCGAAAATTATTTTGTCATGCCTCAATTATTTTTGAACACCAAACAAATAGTTATAATACAGTTTTTTTATGTATAATTCCAATGTTTGCAAAAAAATATTTTCCATCATAGTAAAATGCAGTAAATAATTCGGTTTGATAATATTATCATTTAAATCAAAATTTAAAAAAAAAACCAATAAATATTTATTTAAACCTACCATGTTAGTTAGGTAACGTTTTTAAACTTTTTTATTTTTAGTCCGTCGTGGCTTGTTACGGCGAGTTGTGCAATATTTTCTTTTAAATAGTAAAAAAATATATATTTTTTTAAATTAAGTATATATTTTTATTTATTGCGTAATTTGAGTTTAATAATTTGTTTGTTTATTTTTAATTTCGACCGAAATAAAAGTATGTATTATGTTGGCGCTACTGTAAAATTCATATTTTTAGCTATTTTATTATCATTATTAAGTTTTCGATGACAAATGAATAAAAAGAATCAAAATACACATTTTTAATAATAACATCATACATTTATTAAATTCAAAGTTCACACTTACTGCAGATTTACTAGCGAACAGCTCCAACATAAAGGCCGTGAACCATTAATAAAATAAGCATTTTAATCAAGTCTTTTGACAGTCTAATTTTTTTTTTTTTTATAAATTACCTTTCCGAAAAGTCTGCACAATTATTACTTCCTATTTTGATTACATCAAAAAATAAAACAAATATGCAATACCTAATCATTTTGATATTATTAACAGACCGTTTAATGGTGTGTTTATTAGCTATAAACAATATTGTACATATCTAAGTACGTTATTTATATTATATCTATAATTTTATTGTGGTTTTATACAATCATTTTGTCAAATGTCTTATGGCTGGTGGTCATTTTGAAAATTTGCCCGTCACAGTGCTGACGTCATTATGGATTATGGAGGTGAATTAATAAAGATAGTGTGTTAGAGATAAGTTATTAGAGATACTAGATTGCAGGACATACCCATGTATTGATGTATCTGCATCAAGTGTGGATACTCTTAACTTTCTTTTTAATTTTTTTGTCTTATTTGTATCGATCTTCTCTAAGAATAATGCCCTGTTTAAACAGGGTTGAATAATTTACAACTAATTAATAATTTGGTTAAAAGTTGTGAAAGACAGAAACACGTTTGTGTTGAAAACTATAAAATAAGTTTATTTAAGAAATTATTACAATTATTTGTGATACCAATGGCAATTCCATAACCAAAGGCCACATGTGGAATGGTTTGTACCACTCTGACAAGTGGTTGATCCAAAACTTAGGTGCGCAAATTCGATTTTTTAGTGCAATATTATTATTAATCGCGTAGATCGTGGGAAATTGTATTTCGGCCATTAACGGAAGAAATCAAGAATTTATAATACAATACAATATTATAATATATACCAACATTGAATAAACGTGACCTATTTTCTTAGATAAAAACCGCTGTTGTACCTACGCGAGACGGATAAGTCCTACACCGAT